CCTTTTCTAAAATCATCATGGACTGTGTAGGTCCCTTGCCTAAAACAAAGGCGGGCAACGAGTACCTACTTACCTTTATGTGTTCAAGTACCCGTTTTCCCGAGGCGTTCCCCTTACGGAACATTAAGGCAAAGACTGTAGTCAAAGCCATGACCCGGTTCTTCACTACCTTTGGATTACCTAGAATCGTTAAAACAGACCAAGGCAGCAACTTCACCAGTCACCATTTTCAGGAAGCGCTAGCCAAGCTAGGCGTTACCCACGTCACCAGCTCAGCCTACCACCCTCAGTCTCAAGGTGTACTTGAGAGGTTCCACCAGACCCTAAAAACCATGCTGAGAACGTTCGCTAAAAGTAACACCCAATGGGATGAAACTGTTCCATGGATTATTTTCGCCGCTAGAGACTGTGTGCAGGAATCTCTAGGTTACTCTCCTTTTCAGCTTGTGTTTGGACATTCTGTCCGTGGTCCCCTGAAGCTGATCCACGAGCGTTGGACAGGTACCAGTGATCATCCAGTGGAGAACTTTGACGATTTTCACGTTCGACTGAAGGCCGTGTGCGAAATGGCTCACAAGAACTTAAGAAAGGCCCAAGTGAGAATGAAAGGACTGTATGATAAGAGTTCTCGTAAACGAACATTCAATCCAGGCGAGAAAGTTCTTGTGCTTGTGCCTAATCTGAACAATGCGTTATCCTTAAGATATTGTGGACCCTTTACTGTGCATTCAAAATTAAGTGATTTGAACTATGTTGTCAATACGCCAGACAGAAGAAAGAAACAGACAGTGTATCATGTTAACTCACTGAAAAAGTATTATGATAATTGTAACAATTTTCATTCCACAGCTAAAATTACTTTACCTGTATGTTCAAATGTTTCTGATGATGTGATACATGACAAATTGAAACCCCCAAAATTGGTAAATTCTTCTTTTTTAGATCATTTAAATGACCACCTTATGCATTTGTCCACTGAGGAAAGCCACAAATTGTCTCAGTTATTTGAGACATTTCCCTCTATTTTTGGGGATGTCCCCAAAGAAGCGAAGGTACCACCTCATGATGTAGATGTAGGTGATGCAAAACCCGTCAAACAACACCCCTATAGAGTTAACCCGGAAAAATCTGTTTTGATAAAAGATGAAATTGATTATATGCTCAAGAATGATATCATTGAGCCCAGTTTCAGCAATTGGAGTTCCCCCTGCCTTTTAGTCCCGAAAGACGGTGGATCTTTCAGGTTTGTGACCGACTTTAGGAAGGTCAATGCGCTCACCAAAGCTGATTCCTACCCATTACCTCGAATAGAGGATGTTATTGATAAAGTTGGTCAAGCTAAGATAATTTCCAAAATTGATTTACTGTCAGGATACTGGCAAATCCCCTTATCTGACCGTGCAAAAGAAATATCTGCTTTTGTAACCCCTAATGGTTTTTATAGATACAAACGTATGCCCTTTGGTATGCGAAATGCTGGTCAAATTTTCCAGCGGGTCATTAACTCTGTCATTGCTGACATAGACCAATGTGAGGCCTACATAGATGATATAGTAGTATTTTCTGATACTTTTGAAGATCATATTGTTCAGTTGACTAACCTTTTTAGAAAATTGTCTGAAGTTAATTTTACTGTAAACCTGCATAAAAGTGTTTTTTGTAAAGGTTCAATTACCTATTTGGGTTATCAAGTGGGAACGAACCAAGTTAGGCCCATTGAAGCTAAAGTAGATGCTATTGTGCAGTTCCACCTCCCAAAAATTGTAAAGAAATCAAAAAGTTCCTTGGGATGGCAGGCTACTATAGGCGGTTCTGTCAAAACTTTTCAGCTGTTGCTGAACCTTTTACTGCATTATTGAAAAAGGGTGTTGAGTTTGAATGGTCAACTAAATGTCATGAAGCTTTTTTAACCATTAAGTCATTTTTATCTAATGCTCCTGTTATGGCTGCACCAGATTTCAGCAAGCCTTTTAAACTTGCCATTGATGCTAGCAACTTAGCCATTGGCTCAGTCTTATTTCAGGAAGACAACATGGGGATTGACCATCCAATCGCTTTTTTTTCCAGGAAGTTAAATGAGAACCAAAAGAATTACTCCACTATTGAAAAAGAAGCTTTAGCTTTGGTTTTGTCCTTACAACATTTTGAAGTCTATGTCACTTCTTCAATCAATCCGGTCATGGTATTTTCTGACCATGATCCTCTAAAATTTACCTCTAAGTTAGGACAAAAGAATCACAGAATATTGAGATGGTGTTTATATTTCCAAAATTTTAATCTGGAAATTTCCCACACTAAGGGAACTGATAATGTTGTGGCTGACTGTTTGTCAAATCCTATTACACACATTGATCATGTGACATGTTTTGTGGTTCATTAGGACCATACATGAATGTGAGTGGTCTGAGTTTTGAATTCCATTCAAAATTACTGTTGAATATTTTGTTTATTTTCAGGTGAACCTTATTTAAAGGTGGTTTTTCATTATATGTAATCTTTTATGATAATATGTCTCATATGACTCAGTTGATATTGTAGCTAGTCATTGAAAAAAAGGATTTACCCTGTCGGGTTTACCACTTTTAATATCCACATGGAAATATTGTAATACCCCTTTCTGAGGGATTTTGATGTATTATTATTTTTTGAAAGGGTTACTCCCCTTTCACGAATTGTAAAAGTTTGAGTTACTTCCCTTTTATGTCCAGGGATGTTTTCACCTGGTATTAAGATTTTGGTTGGCTACATTTGTAGAACATTTTATTTTATTTTATTGCCAGATTGGTTCCTTATGTATGTTTTTGTGGAACCTATCTGCCACTTCCAAAAAGGGAGGGGATGTGACCTACTTAGGTCTAGTAATGTTTTATTTTTAGTTTGACATTTGTTATAATACCATATATGGTCTGTGGTGCAATAACCGGTTTTTTTTCCGCTGTCTTACTAAGAGAGTCTTAGACTCAGAAATTTTCCATCGAGAGATGATTGATTGTTTCAGACCAGATGACCACCCCAAACAATGGTCTTATGATTTGAAGGTGACCTTCCATGTTACCTAAGTCTATAAATAGATCGCCCACAGGTGTCTCGCAGCAGTTACTTGACTACACGTCGTTGAGAGACCTAAGCCCTGTGTGTTGCCGTTAAGTACTAATACTAAGTTGTTAAATAGCATATTCATATATTTCTTGTGGTTAAGAAATTCTTTATGCTTATAGCAGTGTTATGTATACAGTGGTGATTTTTCTGAAGTGTTAAAACTGTGATAGTGTATCATACTATTTATTCCCACGAATTGTAAGTTGGGTTTTGATCATTCTGTATATCCATTTTATTCTTGTATAAATCTAGTGTTCTGCCACGACTTTGTACACTTATTACAAGTTATATGCAGATTAAAGGTTTTGTTGGCATCATTAGTTTCTCTAGTGTTTCCCCTAGACATCCATTACGAGTTCTAGCGAGCTAGTGTGTCAACTTTCTTTTATTTAGGCTTGTCGCCATCTGTGTGTAACCAGTTATACGAATCCGGGAGCGTTCGCCATCTATCTGGCTGATAGATTGGTGTCCGTTACAGGTAAAATATCGAATTCTCTGTTTTCTGTAAAAATTTGAGTAATCTCCGTTGAACTGAAGTAGTTTTTTACGCTCTTTCAGATTTATAAAAAAAACGCATATGAATTTATCAAGTACTAATGTTCCGCACTATTGTACACATATCGTTTGCCGTTCACTTGTTGCGCAATTCTTTTTCCACGAGATTATATTCGATTAAAAAAAGTTTAAGTATGTAACAATGGATTCAAAATCATGTATATATCCCGATTTGCCATCCCCCGTAGTGTTATATAAGAATATTCGAGAAAGTTTTGGAGATAACTCCCACATTATTTTGCATGAGTGTTGACGATGAATTTAACTTTGTACGAAGAGATAGTTGTCTTTTGGGATTAGAAGCTGTTGATCGAAATTTAAAGCAAAACATTTTTAGTCGTCTGTGGTTTCAACTTCATTTAGAACTAATTACCAAAAGGTGGAAAATAACACACAGGCATATAAACAAATCTTTTACAACTAATTTGCTTTATTGGTAACTCGTAAAAATATTCTCCTACTTTATAATGGTTGCATTTATTCTCTAGAAAATTTTAAAAGCCTTTTTTTTAAATAATTTAATACTATCTTTAACTATAAATGTAGCACATAAGTAGTGACCTATGCAGTTTAATGTAGCGTTAAAATTATATTAGAAGGGTAATACAATGGGGCTGGGTCAAAGGTGGGTAGAGGGCTGGGGGGGGGGGGGGGTTTAGGAGGATATGTGGGTGCAGGAGCATTTGATTGTGTGGTGTCGTTCAGTGTGTTGGTGGTGTGCAGTAGAACTGGTTAGTGCTCATCTGCCCACATGCTGGCAGTAGGGTGTCAATGCAATATAACACGACAGTCACAAAACAGTCGAAATAGACCAATTCCGTGTGAGAATTAAATTATACGCAGCATTAGGCAACTAAGATTAACATCTGATTTCTCTATAATATATGATCTATTTATCAAAATGTAAGAAGTTATTTAAATGAATACTGTTCTTGGTTAGTAAAGTTCCCCCACCAAACCCTGACGGTCTATGGAGCAAGTGAAGTAGAGTTCACCTGTTTCTGTGACCTCGGCATATGAAGGGACAGTATGGTCAGCACTATCCCAGCCGCCTTTACTTTCCCTAACGTGTGTTAGGTACCCATCAGAGTTGGGTAAATTCAAGGACGGTCTACTGACTTGAACCCGGATTCGAACTCGAGACTTGCTGGTTAGCAGTCTAGCTTTCTACCGCTAGGCCACACCCCGGTGCGGTTAAGTGCCATTATATTAGTGCTTTTTTGTGAGTTGTTGTTTTTTTTTAGATTTGAAAGTAAACACAAGCTAGATAATTGAAAATATTTAACAACTCTGAAATTAAAATAAAACTGTATTTATGCCAAGTGAAAACAAAGTTACAAGGTTGCAATATTTTCAGATGGTTTAAATTGACACGGCACTGTGGACTCTTTAAGACGAATGCCTTTTTTTAGTGAGGACAAAATGCACTTTTATAAAGGATACAATACAATTCGGCTCATACAAAATAAAACATCAGTCTAAATGTTAGTGGAGCAGCTATGTGTGTTGTCCGCAGGCGCATGTTGACTCTCCCCACTCCGTCTCATGTCCCTACTGCTGGTCGAACCTTGCTTCTTGTTCAGACGGCTTTCTAACGAATGTCTGTCGCTGTTCAAAATTTTCTCAGTGATACTGGCCGAGTCCACATTACTGCCATTGGCTCTTGTCTTGTCGACATTGGACGTCGCCTTCTCTTTGATCCCGTCAACGGTTAAAGTTACGTCTGTGAAAACGGTGGAGGCGTTTTCGTACCTTGACTTATCCAAGTACGTCGCTTTGGCCTGATCTTTTTGTAATGTTTCGTCACTTTCTTCCTCCATCACACTGGTCATGCCGCTTTTAGATTTTCCCCCCGACAGTCGTGATGAATCTACAAAACTAGTGTTTCTTTCACGATAGAGTTTTCGTAAAGCCTTTTTCCATTTCCATGGGTAGCTGGTTAACATTGTGCGGTAGACATCGCGATATTCGCTTCGTATTAACGCATACACTGGCCCATTGACAACGGCATTTCCGTAAAGTGGGATATTGGTGTACACTTTTATCGCTTCTATTGTGTACTCGGGGAAAACATTAAACATCTTAAATGGAAGAACGGATAGGTAGGGCGCCGTGAACAAAATAAACAAACACATCAGTGCTAGAGTAATCTTGACAGTGCTCATTCTCGCGTTAAAGTTGCGCTTCTGTTCATGCGTCCACAAAGCGCTTTCTGCTTTAAAGGATCTCAGCTGTCGAAATACGACGATGCCGATATGACAATTGGCTGCTATGGAAACAGCGATGGCGATATCATTAGGAACCATAAACATGTACGTCAGTAAAAATCTTGGAAGAGTTCCATAAAAATAGCACCTCTTGTGGTATTCAGGGACATGTGGGTTGTAATTATTCCATCCAAGCAACGGTAATAATGCTGTAATAAGTGTATAGAAAACCGCAGCCAGTGTGATATAGATGCATCTTCTAAATGTAATCCAGATATGATACTTGAAAGGAAACATTATAGCCAGATAGCGGTCTACAGAAAGTAGCATTAGACAGTACAGAGACCCAGGGTAAGCGATGAGAGGACTGACTAGTTTCAGCACACACAAGTGTCTATTGTTAGCGATGATGTACTTAGTGGGTGAGACGTAACACATGATCGTAATGGGCAGACACTCGATTCCCATGAAGAAGTCAAACGAAGCTATGGCCATCAAGATGACGTTGCTGTTGTTGTAGAACCCAGGGTACAGCAGGATGCCGAAGAACACCAGTAGGTTCCCGATAACAGCTACAGGGATCATGAGAACTGCAGCAACAATAAAAATAGTTCGGGCTAATTCCACTTGCGGATAATCAAAAGGCTCCATTACCGTTTCGTTTCCGCCTTGAGCCCAATCGTCGGGTTGTCCCAAAAACATGTCGCTAGGTTCTGACATGTCCACAAACTGCGGTCTTCAATATTCTTGTTCTTCTTCTTTAGAACTATTTTATACTGCAAAAAAAATTATAATGACAATTAACCTCAGGTGAAAGAACGCCAAGCCGAAATTTTTTTTTACCCGATGTGGAGAAATAGGTGTTGGCTGGTTCGACTTTTGTTTGTTTGTCCTCCCAGTCCAAGCATATGTCAGTGTTTGCAAATAAATGAAGTAATTAGCTCTGTTTTGGTAGATCCCTAGAGGAGAGGTCGAGTATAGTGTGCAGGAGTGGAGAAAGTTCATAAATTCAACATGAATTGCTGGACGAGATCTATTGAAACCGATAAGGAAGAATGTGGAATGGCTTGCCATGAAGTGGAGAAAAAAACGACCAAACGAGTTCGTTTGCAATGCGTGGTCCCTATGATCAATGTCAAGTAGAAGTGATTTATAATTTTTTTTAAGTATTTATAAAAACAACTATAATATCAAGCTATTAAATACACTTAAAAATGATACTTAATTAAAAGAAAAAAACTTTTCTAATAACATGCGTCTGTATATGCACTAAAAAAAAGAAAGCAATATGACTTCCTTTAAATATTTAAAGAGTAAATAGAAAACCATAGGTCGCTTATAAGTTATATAAAGCTTACTAAATACATACTATAGTGATATACGCTTTTCTTTATACTTATTTAAATAGATGTGTAATACCCGTAATACTAATGTGTATGGTATTAAGAAAGGGTCTCATACAAATACTATCTCAGCATACAGTCCTTTCGTTAAACCAGTATATGTTGCCTGCAAATAGTAAACGAAACCATGTATTATGTAGTATATCTAAACAACGTATGAAATGCCTGAAATAGGAATCGAAGTATGAAAAAATATTTTAGATATTTCCTAAGAATTTTTCTGGTATGCCATTGCCAAACGTATAGCATGCAGAAGAGTTGGAGCGTAGAATAAGCTCAAACAGAACATTCATAGCCTTAACAAAATACAGAAGAGTTAGAGCGTAGTATAAGTTCAAACAGAACATTCATAGCCTTAACAAAATAAAGACACGGGACAAGCAAACAAAAGCGGAAGCCATGATTTTAGTTAGTCCTCACACAACATTGATATCTCCTGGAACAATCGGTGACCTCCGAACCCTGACGTCGACAACAGTTGCAGTAGACAGCAGTCGTGAATGTGACAGTTTGACATGACCGACTTGGAACAGGGAATATAAATTCGAACCTACACTTGTATTACAATCCAGTGTTGTGTCTACCGAATGTTGAAGACGTCCTTGACCAACTAGAACGCCTCAGATCTACTTATGCAGCTCACATTATGGGAAATAAAGTTACCCTTTCTGACCTGATAGGTCGCAGTGCCTTGAGTTCATCTAAGTCTACACTATCTTGGTTAAATTCGGAATCATTAGAAGTAACTAAACATCTTGAGACTCAACGCATCTTGAAACTCAACAAATATCTGAGTGACAAAATATCTCCGACGAGATATCTTTGACAGAAAAGCTCAGCTAAAAAATTTTCCAAGCCAATACTTCTGAGGACAGACTTCTCAAAGACTTAATGTCTTAGGCAAAATATCTCAGACAATATGTGTTATAACTAAAGTATATTACCAACAAAATATCACACGGACAAAATACCTTAAGTAACTTAGAAGCAAGCCAGCTGCGTAAAACTATAAAGCCGTGGTTGGTATGTTGTTGGGATCTTTGTTTTTACAATCATCATTATAGCTTTGTTGAAGACCGCACGCCTGAACACTATGAACCCTAATTAGAGATTTAATTAGGCAGCGATAAATAAGTAAACTGAAACAATTGAAACTATTTTAAGCTAAATGCTATTCAAAAAATGTATGATAAATTAATTAAAACTGTGTATCAAAACAAATTAGTGGTGAAAAATATAACCATAATTAGTTAATTAGTGCATTTTAAAATGCATAAAGTTATGTAAATTGTATAGATCTAGTTTTGAATACAATACTTGAAGTAATTGCTTAATCATATGGTATTAATGTACAAAAATGTTCATCGTACCAGATATTTTCATAACTTTTTACATCGCCATTACTTTATCGCTAACTTTATCGTTAACTTTATCGTTAAGTGAAACCACTGATACTAATTTAGCTTAACCCTAACTCAGCCATGACACTGGCACCTAACCCTGGCTCTCTAACTTAAACCCTGAACCTCATATTCGCTATGATTATAGCTCTATCCTAGAACCTGACGCTAACTCCAGTCTTGTACCTGGCCCTAACCCTAGCTATTATTATTTACATAAATGAAGCCCCCGATCTTCATCTTGGCCTTAACCCTAACCTCATGCCTAAACCTGATCCAGGCTGTTCTCTAATCGTAAACAATACATGGCTCTTACTATTGTCGCCATCCTAAACCTACACCCATCAGAGACGAAAAACATTGAACCTTCTTAAAATATAGTTAGATTTCTAAATAGAGAGGTTTCATTTTTACAATTGCAATCATAAAATAATTTATTACAACCTTATTCAATCTCAGCGACTTTGCATTCTTTTGTTTCCGATTGATTTATCTCTGAGGTTAACAAAAAAAATTACAAATCTTTTTTTTTTAAACCAGGAAATGGTGCAATTTAGAAAAAAAATTCGAAGCTAATTTTAGCAACAAGTGCGCAAAAATATTTTAAATTTCTAAACTTATCACTAGCCGAATTGTTCATGGATTATGCTATCAATCTAATCGATAGCCATAATCTTCATTTGCTCCCTTATGCAAACGAACCCCATAGCCTTAGCGCACATTAAATTGTATCGGGAGGTAAACTTAACTCCACTAGAACAATCGTCTATTGCTCTACCTACAATAGAGGTAAACACCACTAGAACACTCGTCTATTGCTCTACCTACAATAGAGGTAAACTAAACTCCACTAGAACACTCGTCTATTGCTCTACCAACAATAGAGGTAAACTAAACTCCACTAGAACACTCGTCTATTGCTCTACCTACAATAGAGGTAAACTATACTCCACTAGAACACTCGTCTATTGCTCTACCTACAGTAGAGATATACTAAACTCCACTAGAACAATCATATATTGCTCCATGTACAATCTGAGGCAATATATCGTGTTGGCAGACCGTTCCATCAGTGCTGTCAAGGGGTCGTCCATAAATGAGGTCACACTCCTGGGAGAGGGGGGGGGGGTAGGGGGCCTCGTAATTTGTAACAACAAACACAATGTAACAACAAACACCATGTATCAACGAAGAAATTACATCATTACCACAATCGTTTATTGTAATGGAATGTTTATGACAGCAATAAATGAGAAGATAAAATATACAAGCATACATAAGGACGTGTTGTACTAATTTATACGAGTCAAATACATATTTGTATGTACAGTTGTAGAGGAATTATATTGTAAGGCCACTATGTTACAGTGACGCGGTTATTTTTACACTGCATTAAAAAAAATACAAGTCCTTAGTAGCTGCTTTCATTTGATATTGACAGGTCTTACAGTCTTTCAGTGTGATTTCACAAAAGCTGGAAGGGAGTTAACTTGGCTCATGTGAACAATATGGGAGATAACTGGCTCGCGAGAGCAATACAAGTTTATTTGGTTGGTAGCTATTAAAGGAAAGTTCACCTAGTTAATGTCATGAATCAATCACAGCATGCATCAGCTCACAACCTCGGGGAGTTAACTGTTTCATCACAACCCAGGGGAGTTAACTTTAATCACAACCTAAGGAAGATAACTTTAATCACAACCTAAGGGTGTAAAATTTGTTGATAATATCACAACATTGAATGTGTATGACTTGTTCATCCCAGCATAAGGGAGCTAACTATTCTACAAGTAGTGCTGGTAGGACGAATATCCAAAGAAAGCGGTACCGAGGCAAGTATAATTAAAAATAATGAGATAATGAACAGCACATAACAGGAATGAGTAGTTGGAATGTGAGAAAAAATATAAAATATATTGGAATGTCACCACATAACAAACATACACAAAGTTGAATAAATTGTATCCAAACACCATACCCCTTCTGAATTTAATAAAAAATGTATCCTTAAAATGTAGTCCTTTTCTTAAAGAAAATATTTTAAAATGTTTCTGTGAAAGGCTACAAAGTTCAACTCTGATGATCACCCCCCATCCCCCTAAAATAGTGGTACACCAAATACCTGTGTGTACATATAGTGGCACTTGTATATTTCACACCCAACACTTGTGTACACAGTTACACATCAAATACCAGTGGGCCCAGTTACATAAAATACCTGTGTGTAGAAATAGTAGTACCAGTGTGTTCAACACCCAGTAGTTGAGTGTACAGTTACACACAAGTCCCAGTGTTTACTAAAGGTTAACATCAGGTGACATTAGACTAAAGTAAAAACAGCCAGGCCAGATTTCTCAGTCAGGGTAAACAATTGGACTGGTACAGTTGACTACTGTAAACAATTACTCGTAAATAATGTTTTTTTTTAACTAAAGGATTTCATCAAGTTAACAATGCTAGATTTAAAATTTATTTTTACTATTATAAAAAAAAAAAATCATTTTATACTAGCTTTATAACTGTGTAATTAATTACACAAATGTGCAATTAACAAATTATTTGACAACAATAAAAAGCCTGTCAACTTTTTAACAGTGACCAGATAAAAATCTCATTGCTGCCTTAGAGAGGAATGGTTGCAACATTCATGTTTAGTAAACTAGGTCACGACCTACATTTGCATGACCCATACAACCCTAAGATATGACCTACATTAACAGAGCCATGACCTACATTAGCTTGACAATAACCCATACCATACAATCCTAAAATAATCAACTAGCAGGCATAGATTGACCATGACATACGTTCACTTGACCCCATGACCCATACACCCTTAAATGACTAACATAACCTAGACCATCAATCATATTATTCTAAGACATGACCATGACCTACATGAAGCTGACCGTGACCCATAATTCCTGGGCATGGCCTACATATAGATTTACCCATTAGGTGCAGACATGCTACTAGTTGATCATACAAACTGTGAGTCAGGTACAACGTAAGAACAGGTGAGTTTAATCATTCCAGGAGATGGGCACCCATTTATGTTGCTTCTCTATCTCCTCCATCAGGTGGCAAATGGTTCCATATGTGTTCTCAAAGTCGTCGTTGACGATGACCTCATCAAACATGCCCTTGTACAATTTCTCCATTTCTTTACTCTCTTTCACAGTCCGAATGAATTTTTCTTCCTAATTAATTTAAAATTATCATTGGTAAACAAAATAAAACGGTTTACAATTAAAATATCTGCAATACATAGGCATAAGTCATCAAGATTTTTTAGACAGAACATTTTTAAAAGATGCTGTCCTGTTCTTTAAGTAAAGAATACTACTCATGAACTAACATGCTGACAAAATAAATTTTTAACTAATATAGCAAAAGAGAGAAAGATAATTAAAAGATTTAAATATACTGACCAAAAATAATTCTGATCTGCTGTCAACCCGCACCTAAAATAGATTAAAAACAAAACACAAGTTGTGAACTTTGCTCTTGATTCATTGGTTATAAAAACTTTATGTGACTAAGTCTATCGACAAGTCAATTTTTCAATTTTTAATCTCCCCCCCCCCTCCATTAGAATACAGCCAAGATGTCTCCATCAAACTTTCTCTCAAGTTAACCCCATAAAATTCAGGGTTAGGGATGGCAAAGGTCAAGGTGACTTACATTGTTATTGATTTTCTTTCCTTCGTTGTACATGACTTTGAGTGCCTCAATGCTGGGAGCAGCGATGAAGATGATGTAAGGTTTGAAATCAGGAGACTGGATGAACTTGAGGGACTGAAATCACAAGTGTTATTTTTTAAAGAGGGATGTCAAACATAGCTGGTGCATGAAATCACAGTGTTTGTATACAATAGTCTAAGCAAAAAATGGCATCTTAAGAAATTTTAATATCATATTACAGTTATCCTGTTGCTTGATACAAACATAAGCAAAAAACTTTAAACAAATTCACTGGACAACACTCAATAGGGACTAGATTTTGCTGGAATAGAATTATAAATTCCCTGCCATTCCATTCTATCCCCACCCATGATGGAAGTTACACTTCAGCAGATTAGTTACACCCCTCAAATAATAAACATTTGAAAAATTGATGTACCCAACATATTACAAACCCCTACAACAATAAAAATAAACAATGGACAATGACCACAATAAACTACATACCCTAAAAATACAACAAATAAACACAGACACACCTACCTAACTAAAATTCACCTTATCCCACAAAGACACACCTACCCTAGCTAAAATATCCTACACCCTAACCCTGGCTAAAGTGTCCCATACCTCAGCACAAAACCCTAACTTTGGCTAGAAAGTGTCCCTCCCTCCCTCAAAGATAACACCATCCTGGCTAATTCCCCCCCCCCCCCCACCCCACCCAAAAAACAGACCTACCCTGGCTGAAATGTCCAGCACACAAATCTTCCCACTTCTGATGACCTCTTTGATTGTAGATAGACGAGTACCGTACAAATGGCCTCCAAACTCTCCGTGATCAATGTACATGTTTTTCTTTATTTCAGCCTCCATCGTCTCTCCATCAATGAAGTAATAACCACGACCATCCTGCTCATTAGGACCCTTAGGACGTGATGTATCTGGTAACAAAAAAAAACACTTTCATCTTGAGCAAACAGAGATACACTAAAACAGTGGTAGACTATAATTGTAAGAATAGTAAGATAAAAACAAAAAGTTATCAAAGAGCAAATTATGTTAGCATCCTTACAGTGTAAAGACAATGATATTTTTACAGGTGTAACCTTAATAGTCCAGCTTTTCCTAGATAATATTTATAAGGCTGTCCACATTTACTTTTAAATAATGGAATACTAAGTATTCCTTGCAAAATGTAATCAAACATTGTCACGGGAAAAAAGAAAAAAATTTAACCCAGAGACAACAGCAAGGTAGTTAAAAAAAAAAAAATTTTAAATTCTCACGTGGTATAGCAGCTCCATATTTGCTAGGGTTATCTTTGATCAGACGTTCTTTCAGTGAGCGCTTGCCGACGCCCTGAGCGCCAACCAGAACCAAAGTACTTCTGTGAGTTTTGGATCTTTCAACTTCCTCGTACACTTTGATATCACAACGATCAAACTCTGGAGATGAAATTTTTTAAACTGGAGTTTTTTTAAATACACTAAGTCAGGTAGCATTTATTCAATGACTGACAACTACTACAGTAAATGAACAAAACAAAAAAATGAAAAGTGCATTTACCAACCTGTAGTTTCTGATGAGTTGTAGCCTATTCTCTTCTTTCTTTTGGTTTTTAGACCACACACTAAAAACAGAATTCAGTGTGTTAGTTTTTTCATTTACAATTTGTTGATTTAGTTAACAAGCCAGTACTAAAACAATTTGCAATTGTTAAAATAAAATATTTCAAACAGCCTTCATTATCTGCTGTATTGGTGAAGTCTAAAAAATGTGTAAGTGAAAATAATTTGTTTCAGTTAACTCACATAAACTGGTCTTTGTCTTAGTCAGCTCTGGCTGCACATAGGCACTTCTCTTCTCTTGTAAAGTCCTGGATGGGATCAAACCAACAGGGGCATTGGGGATCTCTGCCAGCTTGGCCTGAATGTTAAAACTGGGTTAGTCATTACCTTTGTGGTTATCAGTCCTTCTTATAAACTGCTACATAAAACTAAAATGGTTGAGAATATATGCTCCACAAGGAGTAAAGTGGACTAAATGAAGTCAGTCACATTAAAACAAAATCTCTCATAAAATACAACATGAGGTCTCGTAATGCAATCACTCAAATGATTTTTTAAAAAACTAAACAGACATGAAAACAAATCCCCACAAACACAAGAATCAACTCACCTGCCACCAATTTTCATCTGTGTTGTCCACTACATCCAATATATCCCCCTCTCTAAATGGCAGTCCAGCTTTCTTACATGGAATCAGTCTGTCAGTCATTGGATCATAATTAAAGCAAGCTCTCATGTAGACCTAGAAACCACCAAAAAATTATTCAGTAAACACTGCCTCAAACATAAAATCCACTACTTTAAGGGATAAGGTAAAATTGATGATCCACACTATTCGTGCTTTGTATCATTAAGGTTGTACAATGGTATCTTTTTTTTCTATGTTGTTTTTTTTTTTTTTTGCTTTATTCAGTTCTGGCACAAAAATTATATTAGGAATCACAGGATCTGCTGAGGGCTAACTAGATTAACAAGGAGAAAAATTGAAATGAGAACTCACGGGGTCTGCTGAGGGCTAATTAGATTAACCAGGATAAAAATTGAAATGAGAACTCACGGGGTCTGCTGAGGGCTAATTAGATTAACCAGGATAAAAATTGAAATGAGAACTCACGGGGTCTGCTGAGGGCTAATTAGATTAACCAGGATAAAAATTGAAATGAGAACTCACGGGGTCTGCTGAGGGCTAATTAGATTAACCAGGATAAAAATTGAAATGAGAACTCACGGGGTCTGCTGAGGGCTAACTAGATTAACCAGGAGAAAAATTGAAATGAGAACTCACGGGATCTGCTGAGGGCTAATTAGATTAACCAGGATAAAAATTGAAATGAGAACTCACGGGGTCTGCTGAGGGCTAAATAGATTAACCAGGAGGAAAATTGAAATGAGAACTCACAGGGTCTGAGAACTGCTGGTCCAGCGCTGAGGGCACAATCTTAAAGGTGATGGAACTCTCGGCCTCCTTCAGCACAATCATCATGTCCTCTGGGACAAAGACAGGGATCCCGTTGACCTCTTTAACAATGTCCCCGACCCGGAGTAGACCTGGTGTCATAAAGTGCAAGCAAACGTTTTTTATTTAAAGACTTTTGTTTACACAGAATTAAAGCTAAAAGTCAAGCGTATTGACAGTTAAAGTTTTAAAAAAAACTATAGCAAATATAGGTGCTATAAATATCTTTTGCACCTTGTTTGTCAGCCAAACTGTCCTGTAAAATTCTGGCAATGACAGGAACATTCTCTTCATCTAACTTGACAGTTATTCCCTACAGAAGAAAAAAAGATTTTTACTAAAGCATTGATAAACTTTCTTAACGGTTTATTCCTATTTGTTAAGTTATGATAAACTTTCTTAAGGGTGTATTCCTATTTGTTAAGGACAGATGAAGTTTAGAATCTGATTCTGTGACCTTGGCATGTGTAGGGTTCTATTGTGTATTGATACATTTATACAACACAGTATACGCAACAGCACAGCAACAACATGTTACTCAATTTTAGGCTTATAACAAAATGTGTTTGTAAATAGTATACAAATCAACCAGTTGTCCATAATGATGGATGCAACAATTTGTATATGACATACGAGCGGTTGCTTGCCTGCAACAGTATGTGAATGGCATACAAACATGTGAAATACATAGTAGTTGTTGAAACAAAGTGTGAATGACATACCAAATATAAATGACATACAAGCATTTGCAACATTTGAGTAACATACCAGTGGCTGCTTGCCATTTTTCCTGATGGTGACGTATCTATGTTGTTCTCCAACAGCATCAAACACAGGAGGGGGCGGAGCAGCTAACTCCATGTCTTCAGCAAACACTTCATCAAACATTTTTTTGGCCACGCAATCATGGGTAGTCAGCAGGGACTGTAAAGGAGAAGAAACAACTACATTAGCATGTAGAGTGTGGGTGTAATGGCATTAGACATAAACAAAAGAGAGGTTACAGTCAAGTATTGTAAGGATGATACATCATAATTATATACCATAATCAGCTTTGAAAGCTCTTTATGAAAACAGTGGCACACAGATTGCATCAGATATCCGTAACAAAAATAATAGGATACCATACCTCAAATGGTTATACCTACCATAAAGTAAGGTAAAGTTTCCCTTTCAAACCTAACGGTCTATGGGGCAAGTGAAGTAGAGTTCACTTGTTTCTGTGACCTCGACAAATGAAGAGATAGTGTGGTCAGCACTATGCCCAGCCGCCTTTACTTTCCCTAATGTTAGTTAGGAACCCATCAGAGTTGGGTGGACTCAGGGACGGTCTACTGACTTGAACCCAGATTCGAACTCGAGACTTACGGGTTAGCAGTCCAGCTCTCTACCGCTAGACCACTCCGTCCCACATACCTACCATAGGCTGTGGTTTTAGTTATACCTACCATCAGATGTGTTTTTTGTTATACATACCATACGTTATGGTTTTTGTTATACCTACCTTTGGTTAAGGTTTTTGTTATACCTACCATAAGTTGTAGTTTTTGTTATACCTACCATAAGTTGTGGTTTTTGTTATACCTACCATATGTTATGGTTTTTGTTACACCTACCATCAGATGTGGTTTTTGTTACACCTACCATACGTTGTGGTTTTTGTTATACCTACCATAGGTTAAGGTTTTTGTTACACCTACCATCAGATGTGGTTTTTGTTACACCTACCATCAGATGTGGTTTTTGTTACACCTACCATCAGATGTGGCTTCTGTAGTATTTGCTTCAGCTCTGTAACATTCTTGCTGGGGGAAGCTGGGGCTGAAATAATTTCCAAAACGTCATGCAAGTTCTCTTCACCTCTGTCATCTGCTGGGTCGGGCAGTTGGAGGCCAAGTATATCGTATATCTGCACAATAAAAATACTACATGTATCAGTTGGTGTTTGCATCATTTATCTGCACACAATAAAAATATTACAGGTGTTGGTGTGTGAGTATATTGTATATTTGCGTACAGTACAAATATTGCATGAGTCACTTGAAGGTAAAGTACATAACATGAACAATGTAAAACTGACAGCTTACAACACTGATTTTACCACACATGCAATGGGGAAAGAATTGACAAGCTTATACTCCTTTGTTTCAAATTGTTACAGTTACATCAAATAACATTTTTATCACATAAATTTACTTAAAAAGCCCTTTTATAATACTGACATATAATTTCTTTTGCAAATAGGAAAAATTAGTTGCAGATAATATCTTAAACATAATGTCAAATTTTCCCACAAAAGATTAAAGTACTACTGACCTCAGCAAGAGCCTGATACTCTGGTTCACCAAGAACATCATTTAGCAAATCCAACTCATCGTGAGAAGCGCCAAAATCTTCCAACTCCGCCAGGAGTTCTTGCATGTTCTCAAAAGCCTCTGAAGAAGATATTCATTTCACAAGATAAGATGTCAATTTAGCAGCAGTAACTACTAAATGATAATAATGAATACAAATGTTAAAACCACACGATGGTCAAAGATTATGACCTTAGTAAAAGCTTGTATTAAAAGTAGAAACATAACAAAGATATATAATTTCAAGAGAGTTTAAGAAATTATCTTTAACTTAAATCGAACAACTATACCAATTTTATGTCCTCCCTATATCGGAATATCTTATATTGATGACTAAAAAATCTCCCATGTAAAGAACAGAATTTTAAGGAATATAATAGTTATGAAGTGAAAAAAAGAGAATGCATATTCTTATTCTCCATTGGATGGAGTTTCCACTTCATTCTGTTTCAAATAATAACAAAAGTAGGTGCAGCAAAGTGGAAGTTTGTGTCATAGGTGTTTGAGGGTGGTACAGTTTCTTTATATTAGCACAAAATATGTTAACATGTCAGAACAGCTCAAACAAAGATGCTTGTGTTTACAGATGACAAAAGTGTATTACTGATGGGTAGACAAACTGCACTTACCAAGGGCTGCAACCTTTGGCGGTGTGTCCTGCTGGTATCTTGGCTGCGGCATTTTTCTTTATCTTTTGAACACCACAGCAACTGGAGCTTCAGACAGAAACAAAAACAAGTGGTTAAGTTTAGTACAGAACTTGCTAAATTGTTGCTTGTTTGTTGCCGGGGTCCAAAAATAGAGGAATTAAAATAATCCATCCACCAGACATTGTCAAGTAATCTACGACCACTGGGCATCTATGTGTGCTATCAGCTATTCCTAGATAGCCAATTTAAAACATGAGTAAATGTAAACAATATCAGCTATTCCTAGATAGCCAATTTAAAACATGAGTAAATGTAAACAATGGCAGTGCTACATTTCTTGGATCTTACTTGTTGAGGTGTGGGTTTGTCCACACTACAACCCAGACACCACAGGATACGTTTTATGAAAAAGTTTAGTTTGATGACCTCGCAAAGTCGAGGCAAAGATTACACGAATGCAGAGGATCCAGTGCCATTTGCAGTTTAGTTTAGACATGGATAGTAGTAGCCCATAATATCCCTTATTTAGGATGTGAAGAACTAATGTAGGTGCAGGGAAGTGCTTTGGCACCAGTGAGTGTCTATTGTGCAGCTTGAATGCTCATCATAGTGCAAAATGCCCAGATACTAAGATAGCTGCACGGAACTCACATATTTTAAAATTTTCTGGAATGTACTCAACTTCCAAGTCTCATAGTCATATGATGGATGGTGCAGTAATGCACAAAAGACAAACAAATATTTATATACATTATACATATATATAACATTTTATTCCGGCAGTCCTTTCTCTTATGCAGTTATCAGTAAAGAATGAAATACAGTGGTACTTTGAGAAACAAATTTAGTTTGTTCCATAACATTAGTTGTATGTCAAATTGTTTCTATTGTATCTGTGGTCTGAAATAATTGTCTTTTAAAACTGATAACTTATTTCACGTCTGTCGCAAATAGTAAAAAAGTGATTGTGCAAATGTGGCATAGTAGTCCATACTATACGGCATACTGAAATTTCATGATTATTATGGATTTATTTTTTATTTATTTTTTTGCAGTTTAAAATGTTTTTTTAATTAATTAGTTTTTTAAGCTGTATCATTGTTTAGTTGCAATAATAATGCAAAGGACCACTTGATTTTTCCTTACCTCTTTAAAAAGACATAGGCCTATATAACGAAGGGGAAAAAAAAGAGCTAAACATACATTTAAAAATTTTTTTACACTTTATATAAAATATATATTAAAATGTTGGCCATTATTATTATTTCTCTTCTAATGTTTATTTAAACGTAATGTCATTTTCTAGTGTATCAGTCCTAAATTTTCTACTGATATTTTTCAGTTATGCCTACATATTTAATGATACTTTTACAAAAAAGTAGGCTTATTATTAAATGTTAGCATTCTATGAAAGACATGTAGGCTACATCTCCTGTGCCAGTTTCTGACTGTAATGCTCATTTTGCATGTGTGGTAGAAGGCCTCTTAGCTCTTATGAACTCACAATGCCCCCAAATACATTTTCCGTATTACTTCCGGGAAGAAGAAAATTAGCAGATGATCAATGGAGTAAGGACATTTAGAAATAGCCTATTTCTAGAATAATTTTTAATCTAGACCTAGAATTAGATTTTTTTTTTAAAAACAGGACTAAACACATGTGATCAATCTAAATGTAAAGTATATTGCCTACTTGTTTAGTTGGGAAAAAAGCAACAATAAAAAAGCATGAAACCAAAAAATCATGTCTAGCAAATTGTGTGTCACTATTTACTCATAATTATGCAGGTATGTCTCGATTTGTGTTTCATGCTTTACAAAGAACCAACACAATGAAGTAAAATTATTAAATTATTGATTACCCAGAATCTAGAGAATCAGGTGAAACTAAATTACTAATTAATTTAATTAACTAAACTCTAGGATTAGAGAACCAGGACTATTGGTATAAGAAATAGCCTAGTGAATTTGTGTCCTAGGCTATAGGATGAGATGCTATGCTGCTAACGATAGGTAGTTGGACCTAGAATCTTCTTATTAAAATTAAAATCTAGGCCCAATTCTAAATTGTTAAAATGAACAATAGTGTGGAATGTTATTAGTACTTTATAAATTCATATGCTTTTTTTGAGAAATTGGAAATAGCGTAAATTACTAATTCCTGTCAACAGAAATTACTCAAACTTTGACAGAAGGCAGAAAATTAAATCTTTTACTTATATATAAAATTCCATTTATATATCTGAAAAAGTACTAAAGTTAGAGTTAAAGGCTTTTGAAAAACTAAAAGTTGAATAAGCTCCACTTCCGGTTATCAAAAAAAAAAAAAAACCTATGTTTTTCCGACTCAAAGTCGTGTAAAACATCAAGATTTGTGAAATCTAAATTTAGATTTTTTTGCACGATTACAATACTTCCTCTAGGCCTATACTTCATATACGAGAAAGTAAAAATGTCTAGGCCCCTAAACTTTAAAAATTATATCAGAAAAAGTTTTGAGTTCAAATTAGGACCTACAAGACTAAGGCCTAGGCCCGCCATATGATAAATATATGAGGGTTTTTTAAAGTGGGGTTTTCAGAATGGCCAAGGCTATTCCCAGCCGACTGTGAATAGCCCCAATACGGCTATTCACAGTCGGCTGTCATTTCATGCTAAATATAACTGGAAATAGGCCCCTAATAAAATCATTTATTGTGACTGGGGAGTGAGATATAGATTAAGCAAGCAGTACTATTTTTATTGTGTTATATATTTTATTAAAAAAATGTATTAGGCCTATGGTTTAAGTTTAGTTTTTAGGCTCATATCAGACTTATCTCTTACAGGCTACACAGTACATAAGTCATAGATGATCAATTATGCACTCTAAATCTATGCTAGACTAATATCTTGTAATTTTTAAATAAATAATAAGCCTACTAATTAAGCATCAGTTTAGTTGGTTGTTCATATCGCTATTCAACTATCAATTACTATTAAAAATTCAAATAGAATAGGCCTAAACATCAGGTGAAATGTCCTTTTTCATCAGCTATAATTCAGTTTCCAAAAATCTATGGGACAGGTCTTTTTTTTTTTTTTTCACAAATGAAAAAAAAAATTAACACAAGTTACCCTTCCATGAGTAACTGGGAAAATTATTATGATATGAGTTAGAACCTGCACCTTCCAGCATGTTAGCCACTCTCCATGTCCACTCGACCACACATCTTCATGTCAATTTGGGTATTTTAAGATTAAATCTAGCAAAAACGGTCACGACTGTTGACTGTCAATTAGACACTAACTTAGTTTCAGAATATTGATCACGGAGTTCTGAAAGAGCCTATCATTGTGTGTGTCTTACAAAAGAGAAACTTGGGTAATAACTTAAGCTGGATGTAGAAATGTAGCCTTATCCTAAATTATTATCCTTAGGCCTAAACAAAAAAAAAGTTATTTTAAGACTTCTCTGGGGGATTTGCACTTCCATAACAACATTCATTGATTCTAAAAATTTATTACCATGGCCTAAAATTAAAATTTCTGAATATTTTCATGCTTAAATTTTTATTTTTACAGTCACTTTGATAAACTTTGATTGCAAAACAAAAAAAAAAACGTTTTTTATTAATGTCAACATTGAATAATGATGGAGGATTCTCGTCAACTCGGTAAATTCCAGGCTCACCTGCACCTGGCCTAATGAATAAAAAACAATTTGGGTAATCTATCGTTTTGGGTACGTAAAATCGCCCGCGACTTGTAATGTGAAAACCAGGTGACTCCTTAAATTTTAATAATTATTTCACATTTTGAGGAGGATTTATATTTTTTAAAATACAAAAATGTTTCGTTGTTTCATTTATGTAGGCTGTTTTTAAAGAATTGAATTAAAACTTTTCAGTAATAAATGAAGACTAGCGATGTTTCCAACAGATGCAACCATGCTCATTTACTATAGCAGCCATCTTGTTTAAGTTTTATTTTTATAAGCTTTTAGCGCGAGATCAGGGGGAAGCCACTCTATTTTACAAATGGCTGCTGTTTATATAGCAAATCTTGGTCTCAGACACTGCTGTTTAAAGTTAATTTCTGGCCTATATCGATATATTTAGCCATTGATTTAGGTTTATTATTATTCATTTATCTATAATATTTGACACAAACATATGACAATATACCCCTAAGCCTTGACAATGAGGTAACGTTTTCGTACATTAGGGCGATTTTACGTACCCAAAACGATAGATTACCACAATTTGTTTGTCGGTGGATGGTAGATATAGTTCTAGTTATATTTAGAACTTATTATACTATACTTCAATGTAATTTAAATAATTTAAGCTCAAAATATGTTAGCACCATTGAACAAGAAATAAATTGCAAACTCAATATGAAAAATACCTGTAATTTTTCAAATATTTTACATAAGTGGTCACAACAACTGTTTCACTTCCGTATTCATATCCGACTAAATGTCGAAAATTAAGTGAATATACGAATAACTTTAACTTTAGCCATATGTTTACTCATAACGATTTTAATGTTTCCTTTAAACGATTTATTAGTCGGTTGGTATTGTAATCCTTCCGAAAATACTTTCACATCATCTCAGTCAGCCACATTAAAAAAGACTAAATTAAAAAGAAAATAATACATCAATCTAGAATCTACATTTAAACTCTGTATCTCTCATTTATTTCTCGTTAGTTAAACATTACAGAAGCGAGATAACTGAAAACATTCAGGAAAAATAACCCCACAAAAAAGCGGTAATCAACATAACAAGAATAGCATGAGAGTTAAGGGTCCTGGCATATCTATTCGACTCATCGATATTGGCATTCAGCTTGACGATCTCTCTCAGTTCATTGTTGGTGATGTAAGGATTTTCCATTTCCTGTTCCACACAGCAGACAACCGAGGTGAGCTTGGAATTTTTCTGCTTTTCTGGTTGTTCCGCAATATCTGGCAACAAAGCAGATTAACTAGGTAATCTTAGTTAAATCTTAAATGTGTTGGAGGAAATCCCCACCATTAGTACAATTAAGAACAGAAAAGAAAAACAGAAGTGGTAAAAAAAAGAAAACACAAAAAACAAACAAAAAAAAACATGCAAATTTTACTTTTAAATGGTCACAAAATCGTAAGCAATATTCGTATGTAAAAATTTTTAAAATCTTAAAAGAACAGTTTTACGTGATGACCACTGTAAAGTAATGACCTTTATAAAGGGATGACCATTAGAAAGGGATGACCTTTAGAAAGAGATGACCACTAGAACGAGATGACCTTTAGAAAGGGATGACCTTTATAAAGAGATGACCCTTAGAAAGGGATGGACAACTTACCTGGGGTGACGGCTGGCTGCTCGTCTTCTTCAATTTTTTTGAAGACTTGTTCCATCTCGGAAAGATCGACACGGTCCAATTTACTGAGGCGTAGCCAGTACACTAGTCGGTACAACTGCAAGGGGGGGGGGGAGAGCTTTAGTTGGTGAACGCAGCTAGATTACAACGTTGGTTTAAGGGTTAGGTTTTAGCTAAATTTAAGTTATTCAGTTTCTTTCACACATTTCCCCCCCCCCCCCCCCCCCACACTCGAAAATTTCAACTGCCTGTTGTGGTCATGTGACATTTAGTTTTGTTTCGTTTTGTGAGTACAACTCACACACCTTTAAAGATAGACAACCCAGCTTGCACGTTTTTTTCCTCCATTCTTTCATGGGCAGATAACTTACACCGATTACTTATGGGGGACAACTCTCGCAGTTTTCTGGGACAGACTACCACTAAATCAAACTAGCCTAGCCTCAACGGTGTAGTGAAGGGGGATGAATGGGAGTGAATGTTGTTGTTACTAGGTACCCTATCCCGTTCGTCCTTGCTCAGTTCTCGTGCTGTGAGTTGTAATAGTCCGGTTCTTACCAGTTTATGAAAGGATATATAAGGTGTATGAAAACGTGTGTGATTGCCTCAGTGTCGTCCAGATCTCCAAGGTTAGTACAGGTTAGGTTTAGACTAGTTTTTAGCCACTGTATATTAGTTTACTAGCTTGTGTATTTTGTGTTTAGACTAGACTGTTTTAGGTGTAGATACTGTATATCTATATATATAATTCTCTTCTGGGAGCCGCTAAAAAACAAGCTGTAAACGCGATCCCTACCTCCCCACCCCTACATGATCTTAGTGAGCTGTGTTCACTCTAAATGTTTACAAGCAGAGCCAACGATTTTAAACGTAAGGGGGGGGGGGGGGAGGAAGGGGGGGGGGGGGTTATGGTCCTTAACGAGCTACTTATAGTGTTTTAAAGAAATATTTTCAGTGTCAGCATTGGTACTGTCGAATTCACAAATTATGAATTACTGAAAAGTAGAAAATAAAACAACTAAATAGCGGCGTATGTTATGCCGCGGGCCGGCTCGTACTATTAAATTCTTTTAGTTTTCAACGAGCCTTTGTTTCATTCAGTCTTGTTTTGTAACCCGTTTGTGGTTGTTTGTCTTACATGTTGCGCTACGCATCGGATCACCCGAAAGGCGTGTCCGTGTGTTCACAACAAACGGGTAGAGCAACACGTACATCATTCATGAGCGGACTACTTACGTGCACCACATTGATTGGCTCCGAGAAAATACCGGAAATGATGATGTACACCGAGCAGAGGACGAACAAGAAGATGCTGAAATGGAGGTAGTGGTAATGGGCTATTATGTCCGGCACTTGGGACTTGACCTCCTCCCCGCATGCTACAATCCCGTAGTAGTAGCTCCAGGCTAATCGGATTAGGCTCAACGTTAATCCCAGCATGAGGGACTGAAAGGCCGCCTGTAATGAAGGGTTGATAAGTCTCATGAGTTAGCCCAAACAGTGGGATGGGGGAGACGGGGCTAGTCCCCGAATATTCTCGACTGATACAAAATTTTGACAACTTGTTGAATATGCTTTTTTGTCCTATAGGATTTTTTTCTGGGTAAAATGGCTATCATTTTCTAACTAGGCTTTTAGTTGATCAACTTGTAGTTTATCAGTTATATATTCGTTCACAAACTCATAAAGCGGAAATCTAAGATACTGAATTTTTGTGTAAATCTTTATGCTTAAATTTTGCCCATGTCTAGAATCTAAGATAGTTTAGTGTAAAATTTTAAAAATGTGACAAAGTAAATTAATAAACATATATATATATATATATATATATATATATATATATATATATATATATATATATATATATATATATATATATATATATATATATATATATATAATATGTGCTTGTGTGTTTATAAATGTATATATGTGTGTATGCGTATGTGTACGTGTATGTGTATATGTATAAATATATTTATGCATATATCTTATGTTTATATACCAGAGGCGTAGCGACCCATCCCGGCGCCCGGGGACAAACTGTCAATTTGGCGCCCCCCCCCCCACACTCGGGAGCAACCTTTCAATTTGCAGCCCCCCCCCCCAAACTTTCGATTTGCACCCCCGTCAAACTTTTCTATTTGAACCCCCCCCCCCCCCCTCAAACTTTCAATTTCCACCCCCCCCTTATATTTTTTATATTTATAATGCAAAAATGCAGCTAAAATGAGACTAATTTGTTTTTCAAACCCATTTTGGCGCCCCCTAAGGTCGGCGCCCGGGGACATATGTACCCCCCCCCCGCCCCCCACCCTTCGCTACGCCTCTGTTATATACACATGTATATGTTTATATTTATTTCTGCATGTATTTGTGCATATACACATACACACACACAAACAAACAAATGACAAATTCCCACCTATGACTCTTATAGGTCTGACCTTTTCACTGGCGCGATCCCACAACAGCCCACACAGAAACACTGCGGCGATAGGCGGCGCAAGGATACTGATGAAAGCCTGAATGTAGTCCATGACGATTGGCATCATGCGCACGATGGGGACCCAGCAGAGACTTAGGACAGAAATGGCCAGGATCGCAGACCTGGGGGGGGGGGGGCAAAGTTGTTTAAAAATATGACTTTACTAAACAATTAATTTAAGTTATATCACCTACCATTTGAGTCAAACACGACCACACACACCCAGAGACGCGCGCCACGTATTGTGGAAACCCCTGCCCCAATAAAGTTTTAATCGGAAAAAAAAAAAATTAACAAGAAACCAGCGGAAGGAGACACATATTCTTTTACTTGGAGACGAAAAGTAGTTCCAGTTCAGTGGGCCGCGCCTTGATATTCCTGTAGATGTTGATGGTGAAAATAGTGCTGGCGCTGTTCAGACAGGCGCTCATGGAGGACACACAACAGGACACAACGGCAGACAACACGATTCCCCTGCAGAAGACAACGTCATGACGTCAGTGTATGAATTGTTTTGTTTTTTTATGTTCAGTGTGTGTGTTCGATTAAAAACGGGTTTGACCTCATTTTTGTTGTGAACAAGAAAGTAGCATCTGGACATTGTATTGTATCGAATCTGCTCATTACGTCACTATTTGCATAATTTTTAAAAATATACTGACGTCATTGTTTATGGGTGATATACTATACTGCATTTAATCATCTTCTTCGTTCTTAATTTTAATGTTGATAGGTATTTCCTCAAACAAAATTAAGTATCACGTTGACTCCTATTCAACATGGTGGGTTTGCTTGGTCCCTATCCAAGAACAAACTACAAGGCAGCAGTTGTCTACCCGGGGTTCGAACTCGTGACTATTCGGCCTAGCAACCGCTATATTGTCTATAAATATCATGTCGTTATAAGCATTTTCTGTCAGTGAACTGAATCGTTGCACATATCTCTCTGATTTTTTAATATATTTTTTTACAAGCAGACACGAAGCTGTCATTTGGCGGAAATACATGCGAAAATGATTCTGTAATTTGGAGGGACTACAAGCAGACATGAACCTGTAATTTGGCGGGACGACATCCATAAACAGCAGCGGAAATGCCAGGTTGCTACATCCGGTCCTGGAGTGGCAGATTGACTCACACACCTGCGGGTCGGCGCACGCGACGACATCTCAGAAAGTCAGGTGAGAAAGTGGGTATCACGTGATGAGGAGGATGGGAAACAATGGGGTATCAAATGGTGAGTGAAAGATGTGAAACATTTAGCCTTGACATCACGGTCAGAGTAAACAAAACACCAAATACAGATTATACAACAAAATCAAGGTACATTTGCTAAATTAGACAACAAAAAATGACTTTCGTTAAATTATACAACAAAAACTAGGTACACTTGTAAATCGGTAAAAGTCATCGCCTGATTGAAAACCTAAGTAGAATTTAAATCGAACATGTCTTGGGTGTTAGCCAAAAGGCAGGTATGAAATAAATAAATACCTGTGTAAAAAATCCTGGCCACGATGCCTGGAATAATGAGAAACATGACGGAGAGGATTTTGGCGTATGACGTCACTATGCAGGCACTTTTAGCGTGGAGGATACTCTTCGCCCCAAGTCCGAACTGTACAATCATCTGAAGGTACAAAATAATAGGTTGGGATATTAGACATCTGCAGGTCCAAAATAATAGGTTGGGATATTACAACATCTACAGGTCTAAAATAATAGGTTGGTATATTACAACATCTACAGGTCTAAAATAATAGGTTGGGATATTAGACCATCTACAGTTCTAAAAATATAGCTTAGGATGTTAGGGCCTAAAATATAAAACATTTTATTGTTCATGTGTTAATTTATTGTCTGCAGCATCTACACAATCTGAATGAGCTGTCACTATTGTCTATACTATCTTAATCCGCTAGTATCTGCCATAGTTGAGTTACCCCGAGTCGAACAAACAGCCAAGTCACCCAGAAGACGAACATCACATAAACACCGTTTCATTCTATACTGCTTGAACTGTGTGAAAACAGTTGACAAAACTGGAGGAGGTGAGGTAAGAGCGTATAGCAACAACAGCAGTAAACAAACAGAACATCTCTTATAAACGGTTTCATTCTATACTGCTTGAACTGCAGTAAACAAACACAGTCAGACGTTCATGTAAACTGTACTAGACAAGTTGGACAACGATTGCAGACACACATAGTTTGAAGAGCATCTGTAATTTATGTGACTTCCTTCACGGAAACGTAGCCTTGACCTACGTTAAAACTTGACCTCTGTAACGTACTTTACCTATTTATTGTAAAAAAACCCAACACGTAAAACATTGACGTCACTCAAGTCATTGACCTATAAACACAAAATCCCCAACACGTAAAACATTAACGTCACTCAAGTCATTGACCTATAAACACAAAATCCCCCACACGTAAAACATTGACGTCATTCGAGTAATTGACCTATAAACACAAAATCCCCAACACGTAAAACATTAACGTCACTCAAGTCATTGACCTATAAACACAAAATCCCCAACACGTAAAACATTAACGTCACTCAAGTCATTGACCTATAAACACAAAATCCCCCACACGTAAAACATTGACGTCATTCGAGTAATTGACCTATAAACACAAAATCCCCAACACGTAAAACATTAACGTCACTCAAGTCATTGACCTATAAACACAAAATCCCCCACACGTAAAACATTGACGTCATTCGAGTAATTGACCTATAAACACAAAATCCCCAACACGTAAAACATTAACGTCACTCAAGTCATTGACCTATAAACACAAAATCCCCAACACTTAAAACATTGACGTCACTCAGGTCATTGACCTATAAACACAAACTTGACCTGGTCGCAGCAGAAGTACCAGACGCTGCCCACGGCGATGCCGAAGACCATGCCCGGCCAGGGGATCTCCTGGTTGCCATAGCTACGGATGATGTTCCAGGACAGGGCTTTGGGAATGCCGCAGTAGGTATAGCTGATCACGTGACCACCACAGTAGGGATTCGAGAGTATTGTGTTAAGGTCAGACGATTGAAGAGATTTGAGAGTAGGGTATTAGTTATTAAAGTCTATATTTTAATGTCTATATTTAATATATGCACATGTATACTTAGTAACACCTAGTGCATTTAATACATAAACTATTTTTCCTTTGGCTTTACGGTTTCTATAGGCACTATGTATGTCAAGTCTGCAATCAAACCAACTTGTCATAATGTCATAGCCACGGTTATTTCGCATTTTGTCTTTTGTGTACAAAGTTTAGCTTTTTCTAGAAATAGAATCTGTTCAGATAGATCGTTTTCAAAATTCTTATGTGACAGTTGTTTTTTTTAAATAATGAAGCGGGCAGTTCGTTGCTGTAGAGACACGATAGGCAGCAGACCAAGTGCGCGCCATGACGTAGCAATGGCTGCAGATGACGTAGAAACTTACGGGTATGTCGTGTTGTCGCCGAAGTGAAGCCGGGTCGTGTTAGGCCAGGCATCGAAGTATTTCTCTCTCAAGACGTCGTACGTTTCAAAGTTTGCTAGACCTGGTGCAAGACATTACTAGCATTTTCAAAACTAATCTTTACAGTTGTAATTAAACTGATCATAGTAACTAAGAAATAGGCCGTTAACGTTGATTTAATTGTGGGTGGCATTCAGGCATTGAACAGCTTTCAAATTTAGAGTGCTGGCTTTGTGTACGTTATAGTAATGTTTAGACATTTTATTAAAAACTTGTTTTATAATTGAAGCTATCCCTTATTTATATTTTGCTGATTAAGTTGTTTACTTTAATTATTTATTTTACATAATATTGACAGTGAAACTATGTTGTATAGCTATAGCAAAAATTATGTTGTAGAGAGCAAACCAATATTTTTAGCTGTATCTGTTTTTAGAGTGAGCCTATATTATTTATGTTATGGTTAAATCTAGCTACAATGATGGCTCTAGTCTCGCTTACTGTAATAAGAAATGTAAACGGCCCCAAATAATAAAATCAAGGCTTGTGCGGTGTCCGTATAGACAACTGTTTGTAGTCCACCTGGAGAGAGACAGATGCATGTTTATACAATATCTGCATACAGGATAGAGAGATGCATGTTTGTCTAGTATCTGCACTCACGCACTATTGTATTTATAGCAGTTTCAATACAAGACAATTACAACAATACATTTATTTATTTTTTAAATTAAATTATTACATGCAGGCAATCAGGCAATAATTAACTGCCTACAGGCACACAGACAGCCAGGCAATAATTACCTGCCTGTATGCACACAGACAAACAGGCAATAATTACCTGCTGCAGTGAGAATGACGGACCAGAGCAGAGGCAGGATGCTCAGATAACCGTAGCTGACGTTGACGAAAACAGTTTCCAGCAGTTGAGAAATCGCATAGAGCTCCACCTGTTAGTGTACATCAATACAAGAGAATGTACACATTAAACACCAGATACAACATGCGTGTGTACACAACATACACCATATACACTCAGGTACTACATGAGATACACCCAGAAACAAAAACCTGCGTTCTTTCGAATAATGTCAATAAGTGAAAATATGGAAATGATTTCATCGTGAAATAGATAACCTAGGACTAAAACCCCGCTACCTTTACGGTTCTTTACGTCATATGTAACGAAACGTAGAACCTGCGAAACAAATACCACCCACTAAAGACAAAAAACACCAGTTTTTAGATACTAAACCACCCGTCTGATGGCAAACCACCAACTTTATGGACATGTACCACCACCACCACCAACCTTTAGGACATGTACCACCAACCTTTAGGACCTGTACCACCAACCAAAACCACCAACCAGAACCAACAACAACGGATACACCGTGTCACCAAGTGCCCTACCACCTCGACCACACAAGCACCCAGCAACTTACGGAGGTTTTCGTTAATACAATAAGCAGCAAGGTTAGAGCTGCCAGATAAATTTCTATCCGCTTGCCACCGTACCGTTTCTTGAGGTAGTCCAGCGTGGTGACTGACTGTGGGAATGGAAAAACTAAATTGGTTTGGAGCGACACAAGAAAATCTGCGACCCCTCACCACTATTTTCGTCAACAAAACAAGTGTACCACGTGACTCGCTAACCACGTGACCACGCCCCTGGCTACCTACCCCTGATGCTATGTAGACTGGCATGAAGACCCAGCCGAGGAGAATCAACGCAAACGTCGACTGAGACATCGGATATGGAGAAAAAGACATTTTAAAATCATAGTAATAGTAACTGACGCAAAAAGTTCAATTTTCATAATAAATCAAAATAAACGATTAATTAACGTTTAAACTGGAATGGCAGTATCCTATTATTATAGTTTAATAGAGATAGTACGGCTTAACAACATGTGTGTATTATAGGGTCATTGTCTCAATAGACTTAGGTGCTAACCTGTAGCTCATAGGCGTAGACCGTGAGCCCACTATGGCTGGCCATCCCGGCCATGGCCACAAATTGTGCACTCCCAACATCGGTCATATACATAGAGCAAGCAATCTGAATATATATATATATATATATATATATAGTGGAAAGTTACTAACGCCACAATAGATAACAACGTAATAGTCAAGGCCAAACGTAAGCCGAGCTATTATGTAACTGTGATATAAGTTGTTGTGACGTAGATGTTGTGACCATAATAGAATTTGACTTGTCAACTAGAGATGACACTTGATGTAAATAAGTTGCTTGTAATAAACGCAGTAGACACAGATGGACAAACAAATATAAAAGATTACACAACGGATAGTACCAAAAATAGAATGGTGTAAACAAAAATAGAACCTTACTGTAAAACAAAAGTTAACTTATCACAATAATAACACCAGCTACTGAAGGTCGGAGGTTATATAATAGGGCTCAACTATAGTAGAGACAACAGAACAAGGTTAGAAACGTGAGAGGGAACTTGTAATACGTGCATGGACTTGTGAGAACTTGTGACAGTGGACGTCTGTTGGTTTATTGTGTATTATTCTTCTGTGGTACATTGATGTTACTCTAATGTGGAATGTGGCTTTATTGCGATTAATAAAGTCATTTAATTAGAACTCATGGTGTACTTATTTAATTGATACACACATGTAAATAACGTGTGACCGTCTACCGTCTCAATTCCTTGACGCCGGTAAAGCAATTACTAGTGGTTACACTTTGTTAACATACACACGCATATATCTATCTATATCTATCTATCTATATATATATATATATATATATATGTAACTGGGGTAGGCCTAACTACCAGTTACAAATGATAACGAACGAGAAGCCGAGACACAGTGTTGGTCTGATGCAACCGATAACAGGTGGCTTATTGGGTCGGGCTGATAACAACCTCAAAGCCAACGCGTGCTATTTTGGGAAACGGTATTCAGACGGCCTGTCAACTTTGATGGATAGGACGCAGATGTTATTTTACGGTCTGTACGTTTGAACTACGCAACTGGTGGTCGGAGATCGAGTACAAGTATCGATTACGGAGGAATACAAGTACGGAGACGAGTACGGATACAAGGCATAAATAGGAGGGCACGGCAGGACTCGTTCTCTCTCTTCCCGTTTCAGCGAGCTCTCTTCCATCTTCATCGCTCGCTTAGATCAGTCAGTCTGTGTGACTATGTCAAGTCGGTTATAGAACGGGTTAGCCGTATTGTGTTAAGAAGGATTATAGACATGTGGATTCAGTTATATAAAGCCTAGTGAAGGACTGTTAGGGGTCAGTTGATTCAGACTATTATTGAGAAGCATTCCTGTTGATTTATTGTGTTATTATGAAGCATTTCTTGATTCATGTAATAAAGGATCAATAGCGAACCTGCATCTTGAGTATCTATACTGTGGTCAATGTTGTCTAGAATGAGTGGTTAAACTCGTTAACACGTGGCACTACAGGCAATTAGGTCTCATTACATGTGGCGTTGCGAGCATGGTAACTGTTGGCTCGTTACAATTGGCGTTGTCGGCAGGATAAATGTTCGCTCGTCACAATTGGCGCTGCGATCAGGATGAATTCAACTAGACTTGCCGTTTAAGGCACCTATAGTCAACCTTGTGCATAACTGTGTTTAGTGTGTGTGTGAATTCGGACATTCAGGAACTGTGAAAATCGAGGAACGAGGAAAAATTTTTCATACACACACGGTAAGAAAGAACTCTTTTTTTAGTACTTAAGGAAGAAAATGTCTACTCTGGACGAGAAGCAGACCCATATAGTGGTCCTACCCAGAGAGTCCCATATTAACAAATTTTACGGGGACGGAGACCCAACTTTAACCAACAGGTTCAGTGAAGAGGTCAAAGCGGCCTGGGCCTCGAGACATATGTCACCAGAGGAAAGATTAAGACTGCTGATGGGCAGTATAGGTGAAACGGTTAGGGCAGAGGTTAAGTGCCACGATAGGACCGTCCAATCAGATCCAGATAAGGTGCTGGATCTGATTATGGAGACCTTTGGGGAGAGACGGTCGGGAGTGCAACTGCTATCGGGATTCGTGGGCTTAAAGCAGAGAATGGCGGAGAGTGTGATGGAGTACTCACACAGGATGAACAGGGCCTTTGATTTGGTAAAGGGCAAATCACCGGACATTGATGTACGCCTACTGAGGGACCATTTCATCGAGGGGCTAGCAACCCCGATCTTAAGGAGAGAGTTGAAAGAGGAGGTCCACAGAGACCAGCAGTTGACCTTCCTTCAGGTCAGGAACTCAGCGATCCGCAGGTCCGAGGATGAGGACCAATCGAACTGTTCGGTGGACAAAGTCTCTGTGCCTGAACAGAGACAATCCCCACCCACAGGGGCCGACACGATGGAGACCATGATGGCTCAACTGTTGGCCCACCTAGAGAAGGTTGACCAACGCTTGAAGTGGTTGGAAAGCAGGTCAACAGCTGAGAATCAGGAAAAGAACGGGACAAAACAGGGACGGGTTGGACGGCCGCGTCCTGCCAAGCCATCACTCCAATGGACGGCAGACGGTCGACCAATTTGTTTGTCTTGTTCACAACCCGGACATATGGCACGGTACTGTCCGGTGAAACGATCGCCCTCTGTAAGGCAGGTCAAGGCTACAGAGCGGCGAGGTAAGGACTTAGTAAACAAAATGACAAAGAAACACAGTAAGGAGAAAAAGAAAGGCAAAACACAACTAATGGAAAAAATGAACTGTGAAATGAACTTGAATGTTGAACAGTTTCAAGTGAACAATTTGTTGGTAGAGAAAAATGATGATAAGAAGAAAATTGGTAGACTTAATAAAGGAATTCAAAGTCTAACCAGGAAACTGGATAGGGAAAGTTCATGCAAATTAAAAGCACAGGAGAAATGTTCATCTTTAAAGTGTCTGTTATCGGAAGAAGTAAATAAAAATAGTAGACAACAGAACAGTGTTGGCAAACTAGAAGAAATGAAAGAGTCTCAAACAAGACTTGAAGAGAAATTATCCGATATTGAAAAAGAACTTCAAAGTACAGCAAGGCTGGGATCCATCGAACAGCGATGGGCAGCAGAATTGGCACTCGTTGACCTAGAGAGAAAACATCGCCCGGGGCGGTCCAAGGTCAATGCGGACGCCTTATCAAGGAATCCTTACGAGAAACCGGGTGATGAGGAAGAAACGCTGACAGGAATATGTGAGGTCAGAGCGTCAACAGATATCCCTCATGGGGTACAAGTGATGCAGAACGGGCAGACCGGGGTGGAGCACATATCCACGGAACCCGAACATATGGACAGTAGTGATTTTAATTGCCTTAATCACCAAAAGATAAGAGATGCCCAGAGAACGGATAGTGGCTTACAACCGCTATTGAAACACGTCCAGGAACAAAAATTCCCAGGAAGAAGGGAAAGAGAACAATTTGGTCGAGAAACAAAGAAAATACTGAGTCAGTGGAACCGTCTCAGTATAAAGGATGGTGTTCTCATGCGGAGAATTCATGACCAAATTGATGGCACAATACACCAGGTGGTGGTGCCGGGACAATTACGAGAAGAAGTGCTAAGGTTGGCACATGACAGGGCAGGACACCAGGGTCAGGACAGAACCCACAAAATATTACGACGGAGGTGTTACTGGCCCAATATGGAAATGGAGGTCAAACGCCATTGTGAGGCTTGTGTGAGGTGTCAGCATGCGAAAATGCCAGTTGTCAAAATGAGACAGCCATCAGGACACCTACTAGCGACAAAACCACTAGAGATTGTGGCTATGGACTTTACGTCGTTGGAGCAATCATCGGATGGGACGGAACATGTGTTGGTAATGACTGATGTATTCACCAAATGGACTGTGGCGGTGCCCACACGAGATCAGACCGCCAAAACAGTGGCAAAGGTCTTATTACAACATTGGTTCATCAAATATGGCATACCAAGACAATTACACTCTGACCAAGGAAGGGCTTTCGAGTCAGAAGTAATTAACCAACTGTGCAACCACTACGGGATCAACAAATCTAGAACAACCACATTTAATCCGAAAGGAAACGGACAGTGTGAACGGTTCAACCGCAGCATGCATGATTTGCTGCGTACGCTAGAACCTGAACAGAAAAAACGTTGGCCTGATTTTCTCCCAGAGTTGGTATATCTATACAACTGCACACCCCATGCCACAACCGGCTTTACGCCATACATGTTGCTGTTCGGACGGGAGGCTCGACTCCCTCTTGATTTGTTCCTAGGAAAAAGGGAGAGTATGACTGGCTCATACACCGCACTGGAATATGTGAATGAACATATGAGAAGAATTAGAGAAATGTACAGGGTAGTACAGGAAAGACTAGAACATGAATCTCGGCGAAGGGAACCGCCGATACAGACGAAGGACCCGCCACTCAAACTGAATGACAGGGTATTACTGCGTAGCCACCCGTTAGGCAGAAACAAAATCCACGATCTCTGGGGACAGGAGATATGGCAAGTCGTGGAGATGCCTAAAGTAGCAGGTGGCCCCTTTAAGATAAGACCCATCGATCACGCCAAACCGGATCGGTGGGCGAATATTGCTCAATTAAAGAAATATTGGAATAGGCAAGAAGAGCAGTTACACACACAGAAACCCAAGACAATTAGGGAACCGGAAGTTATAACGGAAATTCACATACCCATTCCGGAACCATATCACCATCAACAGAACAACAGCGATACGCAAGGGGAGGATACCGGCAACAATGAGGATCCCGGTCCCTCCAGAAGCAGAGAGACAGTAGACCATCAGATAAGTGGTCCGCGGAGAAGTTTAAGGAACAGAAGGAATACGAAATTTTTTGTCAGCAACCATCAATTCTTTCATGGTCGCGCTGGTATGAAAACAGACTGTTCAAAGAGCTATAGAAGTGAACTGGTGAAGGCACCAAATGGAAAGGGTGGATGTGAATTCTAGAACTGTTTTGTGTCTCAGGAAGATGATGTAGACACAGTTGATATGTGAAATAGGTAGAACTGTCAATCGTATACGAATGGAACGTCGTGGACAGTGAGTAGAACAATAGATTTTTTTTTTACGACTGTGCGATTGACTTTGGAGGAGTGCACCTGCCAGGCGTTGTTTGTGGTTGAAAACACACAAAAAAAGCAGGGGTGGATGTAACTGGGGTAGGCCTAACTACCAGTTACAAATGATAACGAACGAGAAGCCGAGACACAGTGTTGGTCTGATGCAACCGATAACAGGTGGCTTATTGGGTCGGGCTGATAACAACCTCAAAGCCAACGCGTGCTATTTTGGGAAACGGTATTCAGACGGCCTGTCAACTTTGATGGATAGGACGCAGATGTTATTTTACGGTCTGTACGTTTGAACTACGCAACTGGTGGTCGGAGATCGAGTACAAGTATCGATTACGGAGGAATACAAGTACGGAGACGAGTACGGATACAAGGCATAAATAGGAGGGCACGGCAGGACTCGTTCTCTCTCTTCCCGTTTCAGCGAGCTCTCTTCCATCTTCATCGCTCGCTTAGATCAGTCAGTCTGTGTGACTATGTCAAGTCGGTTATAGAACGGGTTAGCCGTATTGTGTTAAGAAGGATTATAGACATGTGGATTCAGTTATATAAAGCCTAGTGAAGGACTGTTAGGGGTCAGTTGATTCAGACTATTATTGAGAAGCATTCCTGTTGATTTATTGTGTTATTATGAAGCATTTCTTGATTCATGTAATAAAGGATCAATAGCGAACCTGCATCTTGAGTATCTATACTGTGGTCAATGTTGTCTAGAATGAGTGGTTAAACTCGTTAACACGTGGCACTACAGGCAATTAGGTCTCATTACATGTGGCGTTGCGAGCATGGTAACTGTTGGCTCGTTACAATTGGCGTTGTCGGCAGGATAAATGTTCGCTCGTCACATATATATATATATATATATATATATATAGATAGATAGATATAGATATATATATATATATATATATATATATATATATATATATATATATATATATATATATATATATATATATATATATATGCTGCTAACAAGACAACCAGTTACCGGTAGAAATCCAATGTTTCTGTTGGCAAAGAAGAATCCACGGATTCCTTTCTTTGCAGTGCAGGTAGCCTGCAAGCATAAACAGACAGAATGCATAAACAGACAGCAAGTTTTATCATTATTGTTTTGTTTGTTTTTTGAATACATTGTTACTTTTTATTGAACACAAGTTAAACAAGAAAGATTTTTTACACCGCTTTATAAATAATCGCTGATATCTGGGTTATGAACCGAACCTATAATCTTCTTCTTCGTTCTTTGTAATAATCTCCACAAAATAGTCCTGCGCTGACCAATGACAACCTGAACAAATGTGGGTCTGTGTGAACATGGACCAGACGATGACTGACCACAAGACTGACCACTAGACTGACCACTAGACTGACGATGACTGACCACTAGACTGACCACTAGACTGAAGATGACTGACCACTAGACTGACGATGACTGACCACTAGACTGACGATGACTGACCACTAGACTGACGATGACTGACCACTAGACTGACGATGACCGTGAAGATTAAAGTCCCCCATAGAGTCGCCACATCGGCTCCGCTGAGAATATTTTTGCCTGTAAACTTCCCAACAGAGATGTCAGGGCGTCTTGTTGTCGTCACGTCTGGAAACGTTTCGGGAATTTCATGGACAGCAGTGGTGGTAGATGGGGGGCTGAAAACAAAAGACAGCAGTGGTGGTAGTTGGGGGGGGGGGGGGGGGGGGCATTCTGAGAGCCCACTCTGAAAGTGAATCTTTTTAGCATCACCAGAACTGACGCACCCACCTGAGGCGTAGCAAACACTCCCGGCGCCCGGAGACAAACTTTCAATTTGGCACCCCCCTCCTCCATGTATTTTTTATATTTATAATTCAAAATACCAGCTAAAATGAGCTTATTTACCCCCCCCCCTTCCTTCGCTACGCCTCTGCTGTACAATACTCGATCTAGTCGTAACCATAAGAGATTATTGATTATACACTTAGCGAAAGCGACTTACTTAAAATGTTGATTTTTATCGTTAAGTATAATATTTTTTTTAATTGTTTTTTTTAAAATTTCGTATTCAGGGGTTAGGGAAGGGGTTAGTCATAGGGTTAGAGTATGGGCCGGTTGTAAAAAGAGTGTCACCACTATCAACGGATTTTGTGGTCCTACAAGCTCTACCTCTGGATTAGCCTTACCTGTCATGGGTGACTTTTATTTTTTCAACAGCCCCCCCCCAACCCCTCCCCCACCCCACCCTCTGCCCAAATCGTATGGACGCCTCTGGTTTAACCAAACAATTGTTAAAAAGTTTTTAAAAATTCTTTTACCTAGAACTCATGTTTACAAATCTTGTTTTACAATACTAGAAGTTGGTTTTAAGTGAACATTTGTATAAATGATTTCTACTTCCACTTGAGCTACTTTAGTCATACTTTAGTGCATCATGTTCTTTCAAAAAGTTGGACTCGAGGCTAAGCTGTATACGTTATTAGTTACAAACAAATGTCAATAACTTACGGTCAAAGGGAAACAAACAAGAAAATGTTTCACCGTTATGCAGTTTTGTCGAGGTTATCTCGCTTAATTGTTTTTTTTTGTTTTTGGTTTTTTTTGTAGTTTCTTCGTTTTGAAGCCTTAGCAATGACTAAAATTTTGTGATAGTATTTGAAATAATATTCTTTATATAACTCTTTATGAAACTACTTAAAGTGAGTCTAAGATACATGAATGTATTTCTAGTTTCTTTTGTCGAAATTTGTAGCGTTACTCCGCTTTAGATATATAATCTAGAAGCTTTAAAAAATTGCAATAAATGAATGGTCAAAGGGAAACAACCAAGAAAATAATTCACCACGTAGTTTGGCTACGGTTGCCTCGCTTAAAAATCGAGGGCTTTTTTTTGTTGTGTTATTAAATTTATTAAATTAAAATCTTGTCTTATACCACTGGCGTAGCGATGTCGGTTGTCACCCGGTGCGGCACTTAATGGTGTCACCCAGAGGCGTAGCGACCCTTCCCGGGGACAAACTTTCAAATTTTCGATTTGCATCCCCCCCCCCATCAAACTTTCGATTTGCACCCCCCCCCCCCTCAAGTTTTCTCTATATACTTTACTATTTTTTGCTTTGGTGTCACCCCCCTAAATGGTGTCATCCGGTGCGGTCCGCACCCCCCGCGCCCCCCCCTCGCTACGCCTCTGTTTTATACGTATTGAAGAGCATTCAAGTAGAGGTTAATAATCTCATATTTTTGTTAACTGCCTTATAATAGCCTCGGCTAAACTTCAAAGTGAAATAACTTCAATTATATTCCTTTTAACCATAGATATGCTATACAAAATAATCACTTTAGAATTCAAAGCGGTATAATTCTTACAAAAATTGGCAATGGTTTAACAAAAACACCACTTTCTTTTGTGGACTTTTTTCCGAAAAATTATGATTTAAAAAGTTATCATGGTCTTTATTTAGTTAAGTACAAATTAATTACCAAAAACTGTCTTTTGCTGGGGGGGGGGGGGGGGGAGGGCGTATAGGTTAAGGTGTAACGTCCAAAGTTTGACGTCTTTTGTTGATTATACCTTTATTGGGGAAAATTCTCATTTTTTGAAGCTTTAACAATGACTAAAAGTTGTGATCGTATTTGAAACTACTTATAATGAGTGTTAGGTACATAATTGTGTATTTCTAGTTTTTTTCGCCGATTTTTGTATCGGTTTTCCTCTTTGAGGTCTCAATGTTTCAAAAATTACAACAAATGTATGGTCAAAGGGAAAAAGCCATGAAAATTATTCACCATTTAGTTTGGCCAAGGTTGTCTCGCTTAAAAATCAGTTGGTACATTACTGTGTGTTTCTAGTTTTCTCGCTGATTTTTGTATTCCGCTTTGAATTTCGATGTTTCAAAAATATCATAAAAATTTATGGTCAAAGGGAAACAACCATGAAAAGTATTCACCATTTAGTTTGGTCAAGGTTGTCTCGCTTAAAAATCATTTGGGTTTTTTTGTTATTTTTTTTTATTTTTTATTTATTTATTTTTTTGTTGTTGTTGTTAAAGTTGCATAAATTAAACAAATACTTCATACATTTTGACGAGATTACAAATATTAATTTCATATTTTTGTTTATTTTATAAATACATAAAAGGCTTAATTTCAAGTTCATTTAAAATTATTTAAGCGAGATAACCTCGGCTAAACTACACAGTAAAATAATTTCATGTTTATTTCCCTTTGACCATACATTTGATCAATAAATTAATTTACAACTCAAAGCGGATAGTTCATACACATATTCACGATGGTTTAGTAAAAAGATGACTATCTTTCTTGTATTTTTGACAAACAATTAAGATTTCTTAATTAGGCCCCTAATTAAGAAAAACGTTATCGTAATTCTTTAGTAAAGTGTAATTTAACTATCAAAAACAGTTATTTTGATGGGTTAGTTGGGTTGGGGGGTGGGGGGGGGGGGGGTAGCTCATTGCTTGAGGTGTAACGTCATTTAGTGGTAATGTTGTTACAGGTGCAGCTTTATTTATTTTTTTATTGCCAATGCGCGACGTATTTTGTAGATGATACCTTTATTGGGGAAAATTCTTCGTTTTAAAGCTTTAACAATGACTAAAATATGAGATAGTATTTGAAATGTTCTTTATATAAATCTTTATGAAACTACTTACAATGAGCCTATGGTATTCTCCTTTGAATTTTGATGTTTCAAAAAATATATAAAATTTATAGTCAAAGGGAAACAACCATGAAAATGATTCACCATTTAGTTTGGCCAAGGTTGTCTCGCTTAAAAATAAGGTTGTTTTTTTGGGGGGGGGGGTGGGGGTAAAGTTAAATTTCTCAAATTACTTATTACAAAATTTAAAACCATGTGACAATCTTATATTTTTGTTAACTTTATGCTAATAAATAGTAATATTTTTATTTATTAATATCAATTTCAAAATCACTAAAAAAATATTTAAGTAAGGTAGTCTTGGTTAGACTACAAAGTGAAATAGTTTCATGTTTACTCCCCTTTGACCATACTTTTGCTCTATAAAATAATCATTTAACTGCATGTTAACTGCATAATAATTAATACAGATATTTGTATTTATTACTTTTTATTTCAAATATCTCTTTAAAAAAATTTAAGCGAGGTAACCTCGGCCAAACTACAAAGTGAAATAATTGTATGATTATTCCCCTTTGACCACAAATCTGCTTTATAAATTATTTCCTTTAAATTCAAAGCGGAATCACATGCAAAAATTAGAGAAAAACTCTAGGTGGTTTGCTGAACTACGCCTGCAGCTGTACCTACATATACACCAACATATACACCTACACCGACCGCCGAGTAACCGACTGAAAGACCGACCCACCCGCTGATCAAACCCACCTACGTTACTTCCCCTTTATATCTTTATGTCGCTGTCCGTCCGTTCGTCAGCACATCTAAATACCATGCAAATACTATTAATAAAATGAGAATTTACCTATAACTGAAAAATGATCACTCCAACTTTTTCAACATAAACATGCTAGATGATGAGCTCCTGCTATACCTTGCAGGAAATGCGATATTGGCGACTACAGTGTAGGAGAGACTGTTAAAAAAATTTTGGTCATGTTACAGTCACACATCGCCAAATTCTCCGCGATTTTGGCCTGGATTTAGTGTCGGATTCACTAACTAGAGTTCAGGGCTCCGACTTTTTCAATGGCCACCAAATATATTTTTTAACAGTGGAGAGCGAGAGAAACGCATAGACAGGCAGGTGGTGGGGGGGGGGGGGGGGGTCAACGACGGTCTATCCCCATTTTCACAGGAGGATCCCTTCATCAGCTGGCAGTTAGTTGTCTGTAGCCCCAGTACCTCACTCATGATGGTGTGAGGCCAATAGATTCAAAGGAGCTCTCCACGGCAAGAGTTTATTAAATAGCTGTATTTTTAACTTGTGTCTGGTCTATTCCATATCTCTGCTCCATTGTGTTGAAGACGTGAATTTTTATTCCAAGAGTAAAATCACTGCCACCAATGCAAACAAGGCATATGAATGTTTCCAGCTAGGTGTTTAAGAAACTAACAGGAACTGTATCATCACACAGAACTAAGAACTTAAACATTGAATCTGTGGCATGCCTTTTTTTTAACAAACTTTGAATTATACATGCTATTTGCATGATTGTTAAACACATTCATGGATTCAAAATCAAAGCAATAATAAGAAATAAACATAAATTTATTATATATATATTTATATATATATTATTTATATTATTTATATGTACAACCATATAAAAAATTATTCATACTTCGCTCATCCATACACACACATATAATACTGCTGGAACAATCCCTAGGACACATCCAGTAAATGCTGTACTTTTCAAATGCTTACTATTCAATTCTATGCAAAATACAAATGCTGATCATATTTTTAATGCAGGATTCAAAACAAATTTTGTATTCTGATAATTGTAAGGCTTGACTCAACAAACTAAATTTAACAGCCAACATTATTAAACTGATTAGACCAGCTGCTTCATAAATGCTCTTCTTCAGTAAAGAATGTAAACAACTATTTGTTGTACATCCTGGGTCAAAGTTCATCCTCCACCTTCTGCTCCTGGGTCCCCTCCACCTTCTGCTCCTGGGTCTCCTCCCCCTCCTCCTCACCGTCAGCTTTTTTAGTTTTTTCTTTCTCTTTCATGGCAAAGCTGAGAGAATCCTTGTCAAACTTGAGCAACATGATGCCAAGTTCTCCGTCAAATCTGTTTTTTGTGATCTGGAGAGAGATCACAATTTAAATGTCAATATGCATGTTATAGCTTAATTTTAAAATCTGGAGAATTTTTCTTAAATAATTTGAAATGAAAAATATTTTTGATAGAAACTTAAAACCCTATCAGTGATCAATGAAAACAACATTTACATTTCTAAAACTTGGGCTCTTCTACCCAGAGAAATTACACAAAGCTGGAGCAGTGCTGAACTCAACTGCAGTAAAAGCACACTTTACTTTCAACACATGCATTAAACAGTGACCATGTGCTTGAGTTAACAGTAACCCAAACCATAAAATGTTAGACTTTATCAAACTGTTGTAAGGCTCCCACTAAACAGTTATAAAAATGAAGTAAAAAATGTTATAACAATCAGCTAAAAATTTACTATAGCTTGTAAAAAAATATTCTACAAAACCTGAAGGTATTTTTTCCCCCTGACTGAAGTTAATCTTTTGTCTTGAAGAATCAGAACATTGTCGGCTTCCTGTGTGGCTTTGGCAGACCCAAACACAGAGGCTGTTGTTAGATCTTCTGTTTCCTTCTCCTGAAGGATTTTTTTAAAAAACATTGTAGTAACCAACACATCTAAACTTGACTCTTTCAGATAGGAATTATTTTCATGTTTTGAAGGAAGTATTCCATTTACTAGCATGTCCTTATATTAAAATGATAAGAACCACTGAGCCTGTAACTAAAAGTAAAGTTTCCCTTTCAAACCTGACGGTCTATGGGGCAAGTGAAGTAGAATTCACTTGTTTCTGTGACCTCGGCATATGAAGAAATAGTGTGGTCAGCACTATGCCCAGCCGCCTTTACTTTCCCTAACGTGAGTTAGGTACCCATCAGAGTTGGGTGGACTCAGGGACGGTCTACTGATTTGAACCGGGATTCGAACTCGAGACTTACGGGTTAGCAGTCCAGCTCTCTACCGCTAGACCACTCCGTCCCCTATATTAAAATGATAAGAACCACTGAGCATGTAACTAAAATCTCCCCAATATTATAATGATTAGAACCACTGAGACTAACCTGTCCCCTATATTAAAAAGATGAGGACCACTGGGACAGTGACAAGCATGTCCCCTATATTAAAATGATAAGAACCACTGAGCCTATGACTAACCTGTCCCCTATATTAAAAAGATGATGACCACTGAGCCTGTAAACTCACCTTCCTGGGGTGAATGACAAGTGTCACATGACAGTTCATGTTGGTGGCAAACTTGCGAAGTGCCGAAATCATCAGGTCCTGCTTGAGGAAACGGTCAGTCCACTCTGATCCTGAGACTCCCATCATGAACTGGAGGTTGTCCAAGATGACGTGTCCAATGTCATGGACATAGACAGCATGTGACATTGCCTGGACAGTTAAAACAAAAACCTAAGTATCTGCAGGCAGCTAAGTACATGAGAGGTAATCTTGCAGGATTTGGTTACTTTAGCTTTATAATTACATGCTTAATCTGATCTTTTAATCTCTGTGCATAGAAATTTTTGCTGCTGAAATTTAATGTATTTTATTATATTTTCTGGGTAAAATAAATAAAAATTTTTCAACAAAAGTAGCCTTTTCAACTGAACCATAAAGGGAATAGAAAGAAAAGAATTGTTTTAAATAAAGACTACCACAGACAAAAGAAGAATGTTTACCATGGAACAATATTATTTTGTGTGTGTTAATAAAGCTTACGGCTGCTAGCCAGAGGGTCACGAGTTCAAATCCTGGTCTCAAATCTGTAGGAATCCCTGAGTACACCCAGCTATAATGGGTACCTAACTCTATTAGGGAAACAAAACAGCTAGGCATGGTGCTGGCCACACTATCTCCTCTTATGTCAAGGTAATTGAAATATTAACTCTACTTGATCAAAAATTTGTAACCATCTAGTTTTTAAATATTCCCTAGATAGAAGATATCTAAGATGACTTACATCAATGACTTTCTTAACACTTTCTTGGCCATGAAAAGTCATAAAATACATAGGTAGGGTCTGGAACTGGTCAGCGTAGTGGTCAAAGAGTTCCAAATTCTTGGACAGGTTTTTACTGACCATAAGTGATAAACATAAAAACTTGTATTAGCATAAAAAATGTAGGTGTATGTTAAAAAAATAGTTTCCAGTCTCAAAGTGATCCTAGTATCAAATGAAATTTATCATCTTTTAAGGAATGACCTGGACATTGAGAAGATCATTAACACAAAGGGCACTGAGGTCTAGTGTACAAAAGATGGCCGGCCATTCACTGTCCACACAGTCTGTATTGGTTAAAAATGGCAAGCCACTGTTTTCTCCAACCACAATGGTTGTTGGGGGTCTACAGCTATTCAAATAACTAATACAAGAAACTGCTAGTTCATAGCAGATTAGTGGTGTGCCAAGAGTTGTGTTTAGACAGGTGTTGTGGTAAGACTGGTGTTGTGCTAAGATTGGTGTTGTGCTAAGACTGGTGATGTGCTAAGACTGGTGATGTGCTAAGATTGGTAAGGTGCTAAGACTGGTAAGGTGCTAAGTTTGATGTGCTAAGATTGGTGATGTGCTAATATTGGTGGTGTGTTAAGACTGGTAAGGTGCTAAGTTTGATGTGCTAAGACTTACAGAGCAAACTGTGTCAGCATGGTCTTGGCCAGCCTGGCGTTGTTGATTTCAAAACTTCCCCACAGCGTGTTCACCTGGGGGGGGGGGGGGGGGGAACAACTCATTTATACATAGGTGATTGGTGGCATCAGTTTACTTAGTCATGTAATACTTAGTCATGTAATACTTGGTCATGTAATACTTGGTCATGTAATACCCGTGGCATCAGTTTACTTAGTCATGTAATACTTGGTCATGTGGTGGCATCAGTTTACTTAGTCATGTTATACCTGATTGGTGTCTGGATAAAGGATTTTTTTAATGTTGCAAGTACCAATAGTTTCAGCACTAAATGTAATAATATACTTAAGAAAGTTATCAACCTCTAAATGTTGGTCAAACTCACCCCTTGTATGCAGAGATCCAGAGAGTAGTCACTAATAAAAGTTGTCTTTCCTGAGCCAGTTGGACCAGTGAAGACAGTTAGCTCCCCTCTTCTATGGCCCTTGAGGAGTTTGTTCAGTAGAGGATATCTTTTCCACTGTCAAAAATGTGGTAAAAATACTTGAAACTAAACACAAACTTAAGAAAACATAACATAAACAGAATACACACAAACCAAACATACAACACACACTGAGAGTCTCATGTGTACACACGCCAGTACACAGAACACGCCACACTTATTGGACAGTTACCTTGACCCCTGCGACCTGCTCAGAGTGGATCATCTGAGACCAGACCTCCTGGCGGAGCTGTGCGAAGTTCACAATGGAGTCATGGCTGATTGGCCGGGCCTTGTTTAAAACATTGGAGAGTTTTAGCCCCTGGGTTAGCGCAGTTGCTGGCCCTGGCTCTTCCACACTAGGCCTAGACGACGGTCAAATTACAGGCTGTAGTTTGTGCTCATGTTTTAATCATACTATAGTTATATGGAGGAACCAGATTTCCTTAGGTTTCTAGATTTCAAAATTAAATTTAAAAATTATCTAAATAAATACCATAACAAATTCGAGTTCACTGAAAAATGAAACTTGTCTAACCTGATGATATGACATCTTTTACTGTTCAATTTTTTAGAAAAAAGTTTCGCCATCTCCCAGGCTCGTACATCATCCCCAAACCACAAGACAACTGTCTTAAACCTTTCTAGACTTGGCAACGCCTGGATCACAGGATAAAAACAGATTAGTAGTTTAACAGCAATCCAATCAACACCATCTAGTAATTAATTTATGACAGAACTGAAATTTGAATGGTAACCATGGAAGTTTGAGTGAAACAACTGAGCCTGCAAACAGCCCCTTACCTCTTGGGGTAGTGAACTATAACCTCTGGGTAAAGATATCGCAGGCTTTTTTGTCTCTTGGTACACCGCCATGGCATCAAACTCTGTGCTGGTCAAGATGACCTCCGTAGCAGCCGCTGGGACTATATCCAGCCCAAATAAGCTAACTGGCCCTGTCCTACAAATATAAAGTCTGATACAGTTAACAGTTTAATCAAATAAGCTAACTGGCCCTGTCCTACAAATATAAAGTCTGATACAGTTAACAGTTTAATCAAATAAGCTAACTGGCCCTGTCCTACAAATATAAAGTCTGATACAGTTAACAGTTTAATCAAATAAGCTAACTGGCCCTGTCCTACAAATATAAAGTCTGATACAGTTAACAGTTTAATCAAATAAGCTAACTGGCCCTGTCCTACAAATATAAAGTCTGATACAGTTAACAGTTTAATCAAATAAGCTAACTGGCCCTGTCCTACAAATGTAAAGTGTGATACAGTTAACAGTTTAATCAAATTAACAGCTTTTAGTACTGCGCATTTAAAATGAGATATTAAGTCAAAGAGCCAGTTTGGTACTGTTTAAACTGCCAAAAATAAACATGCAAAATGAAAAGCAACTAACATCACCTAAATGTATGCATGAAGAAATAGCAACTATAATCTTTAATAAGTTGAGCAAAAAGGACGACATTAAATTTAGTACCTAGCAATGTAAGCTGATATAAAGTAAGAGTGTGATTTATTTTTAACAAATTATTTCAAATTTTTACATATATTTAAAATGTGTAGGCTCTGAATTAATAAGGAAAGATTGAATCAAACAGTATTACGATCAAAAAATTTCATTTTTAAAACCTAAAAACTGTGTTTAATTTTTAGTTATGTTCAGAGCACATGAAATCCTAGTCCTGATCAAGCTACTTACCTTGGGGTATAGCTTTCTCTTACACTTGTCTGCTCCTCATCAGTGTGGCTATGGAGTGAGAGTTTTTTAAAGCCAGTCAATGTGTTGTTGACCATATAAGGAAGCAACACATATTCATTCTTGGGGTCACATCTGACGTTATATTTATCCAGGGTAGAGACACTGAGGTTCTGAAATAATTCGTTTGAGAACAGTATGTCAGTTTTGTATGTTAACAGTACATAGGTATAAATTTTACACTACTTTAACTACTAAGCATAGCTTATACTAAGTTATACAAAGCATTCAGTTTTACAAGAGTAATACGTCTCTAGGCTGATGAAAAAAAGCAATCACATTTTTTTTATATTTGACTTAAACATTAAATAAAATTTTAAGTACCATGTAAGTTCTGATAGTTCTTAGGGTAGGTGTAGTAGAGTACATCTATTTTATATTGTGTCATGTAAAGTGCTTATGTGGTCAGCACTATGTACATAAGTCTTTAATTTCCGTGAGCCAGGTACTCATCAGTGCTGGGTGGACACAAGGATGACCTACGGACTCAAATTCTAGAACAGGCTCCAACATTTATGTGTGCTCTACCATGTGGATCCTCCGATCTATTTAATAATTTTATTACAAACCTCTATCTAATGCTCCGATCTATTTAATAATTGAATTACAAACCTCTAGATTAAAAGTTTCCAGCAGCTTGGCTGCCAGGTTCTGATCTAATGAACCAAATAGTTGTGTGTTTTGCCAGCTGTCTTTGGCCTGTGTAGCTTCAGCAACGTAAGGCTTGACAGTCTCTAGGTCTTTAAAACAATCAAATGTTGATCTTCAAGAGATGACAAAAATACACAATTAGATGTTGATCTTCAAAAAAGGTCACAAAATCAAAGGATGATAAGCGGAGACAAACATCTAGACTTGTTAAGTTTCTTTAGCTCAATCTAGAAAAACAAATTGGGCAAACACTTAAATTGACGCAATTTTTAACAGACTTTTATCAAATAAACATTTGTGTATGTTTTAATACCTTACTGTTTTTTTAAAAGGTCTTTAAATATATTTAAAACGGAGTTATATTTTATAAAAAGATTTTACTTGTACTAAAATTTAGGACTTGTGATATGGCATCTGGGAAAAGGCCTAACAACAAAGTAAGACTAGTAATTGTGACAGTAAAGAACTTACTTCCTTTTTTGTGTCTTGAGCTGGAGGAGGTTGTCTTGTAGATCAGCCCATAACCCCTGCTTGTTGCAGTGTTCACACACAAAATGCCCTGGAGAAGTAACGCAGAAATAATGTTGTCAGACTCATTACAGGTAGAGTAAGTGATATGGACAAAACTTTTTCACATTATATACAGCATGGAATGTCAATTTGTTCTTACAGTAGTTATTATGATACATTTGTAAGTTGGCTAACACTAGGCTACAGTTGCAGCAAAAAGAAGTTACCTGAGATATTGTTTATGAACAGGTTGTCAGTTTTACTGGCAGGTGAAGTCTTTGAGATCTTGGGACACTGAGTGATGAGGGATGTGTGGCCTTGTTCAACTTTCATCTTTAAATCTAGGAGCACCTAGCGATTAAAATTTGTGCACATCATATATGAGCCTTCAAAGTATTACTCAAAGAAACTTTACATTACCTTTTGAAGTCATCTCTGTGGAAAGTAGCAAGCACATCACATTTTTTGTCAAATGTTAAAAAGCAATTTTTAAAACAAACTTTGCTTGATCAGCAATATTATTTAACAATTAACTTTAGTTAATTATCTCATAAACCTGGCAAATTTCGAACAACACTTTTTCAACAAACTTTGTTTGCAGATACTTTGTCGTGTAAAATCATGTTCATGTTGTTCCAAGCATCCTAATAATTTACCTTCATTTCTAATAGAAAACTAACAATATAACACCTGAAATGTTTGGGACAGAGACCACAAGTGACAAACTCAAATTGTAACATGAGCTAGATTCAATAAACTTTTAATTTCTCTAGCAGACTAAATTATGGAAAATAAAACAATACAATGTACATACGAGGTTAAATAAAAAAAGTTAGCAGTTTTTTTTACATCTCACCTGCTGCACAAGGCTTGAGGATACATTGTTACTATTCTCTGCTTCTTTTGTAAAGGAACGCCATCTCTGTTTGCACCATGTCATAGACGAACAATATTTGGAAATGTTCCTAAACTTTGAATGCATTACTTCCATTGTAAATGAATATTTTAAAATTGTTTCTACAATTCTTATGTATCACAGACTGTTTCAGAGTTCTCATAATTTTTCTATCTCCATTATGATTATAATAAGTCTATGTTTGCCATCATAAACATTTCATAGACCCAAAAGGTGTCCTGAAAAAAAAAAAAATCATGTGTGCGAAATGATATGATATTTATCTATAGTTTTCTATAGGCCACAAGCATTTATAAATACTGCAGGTAGGCCTAGTAAAAATAATAATGCAGGATCTGTAGTAATAATTTAGACCCCACCGTCACAAACACCAGTGAACACTGTGTGTGTGGTATGTGACCTGACCTATTTTATTGTCTTCAGTTTATAATTATTATTATATTTAACTCAACTCAACAAGGCTGGTAAAGGCCACACTAGCTAGAGGTTTGTTCTGCTAGGGATACAAAGGGTCAACTCAAAATTATTAATTTCAGTCATCAGTGTAAAGTTAAAGACTAAAGTGAACTGTAAAGTAAAGTACTGTATTGTAACTGTAAACTAAACTTTGTAAAGTAAGTTTGAACATAGATCTGTCCGGGATTCAATGGGTCGATTCTAAATATTATCCATTTCTTTAATATAGTATTACTATTAGGACTATTATTATTATTAGGCCTTAGTTAGGTCTAGAAGTTAGTAGTAAAGTTTTTAAAGTAGTAGTACTACTAGTTAGTAGTAGTAGTACTACAAACTTAGTAGTTACTAGACTAGATCTAGATCTAAGTACTAAACTTTAAACTAAGTTAAACAAAAGTAGATTCTAATTCTAGATCTAGGTTATTGTTGTGTTGTTGTTTTTTTATTAATAAACTTCTTGAATGAAAAGTTATTCTGATTGCATCAATGTCTAGTTGCATCATTTAATAGTTTAATTCAATGTGAGTTCTAAAGTAAAGTAATTTAAAAAGTTAGGTCTACACTTAGTATACTATTACTAAACTATTCTAATCTAATTTTAACTAAACTTTTAACTTTTACTGCGCAGTCACACTTGCGTGACTAAGTACTAGATCTAGATCTAGATCTAGAATCTAGATTCTAAGTAGTGACAAGCATTATAAAACAAAAATGTTGCGTGTTTATTTGCTTTAGAATACTATAAACCTGTGGTTTTGCATAGTGAGAGTCACAAAAATCTACGAATTATCTCTCTATTCTGTTATTATCCTCGTAAACCAAGTTCAACACCAGAAAGGCGATTGTTTTTAATTTTGTTGACGAAGCGTGCAGTTTGTAAAAGGTTACAGCAAAATTTCGCTCGCTTTACGTGAAGAAAAATTATTGTAGTGATTTCCCTTAGATTTTCAAAGTTATATTATTATTTCGCAAGATTTTAAATCAAACGAAACTAAAATAAATGGGGGCTAAATAAACGTATTTTAAAAGTATAGATCTAGATCTAGTTGTAAAAGCTTTGCTTTGGTCCTTCCAAAAGATCTTGGTTATTATTGCCGAAAGAAAACTATGTAGTATGACGTCACGCTTTTTTACGCCCCTCCCCAGCGTGACAAAAGCAAAACTCCCGCCCCCCTAAGTCTACAAGGATCAACAGAGTAAATTAGTGTAAACTTACATAGTTATTTCCCTTTTGTATACATAGTCTATTTTAATGATTAGTTTGATATCTAACAATTGGATTTAAAAATTAGGTTGTATGCGTTGTTGATAACTATATTTAAAAACAATACTGCTCTACCTACCAACCACAGCAAATATTTTTATTTCAACAAAGAAAACAAAATTATAATCTTTGCTATTTTTAAGCAATAAAATTACAGTAAATCACCAGAAAAATTTAAGCAGGAGGTGGGTATAGAGATGCTTGTTAAATTTCTCTATTGATGAGTTTCATATAAATAATAAAAAGAAAGGCATGCAGCCCATCAAGCAAGAGTTGGAAGAGCTGAAAGAAACTTTTGAGCCTAACATAAAAATATACTTGATAAATCAGTCATCTATCGATTCAACCCTTCCACACCACCCCCCCCCCCCCCCCAGCCTTTTCACTAACCACCTCTGTGATCTAAATTGTCTACACAACTAGTGTCTCAGTTGCCTTTTTCAACAATAGTAATGTTACACTATTCTAAAATAGCTTTTTTTTCTGTACTAATTGCTAAAAATGGAAAAAGTATGAATGCAATAAAAGTTAGTGTGAGGAAAAGCCTTCAATATTTGCAGTTAGTTGTATTTTTTATTTTGGAAGTAACTTTAAAAACCCATAGATTTTAAAGTCATAAATTGATCAACACAATAAAGGTTTTAAAAATGTATTGGCTTTTGTACAGTTACAGTCATATGTATAATCAACTATAACACTATTTTAAATCATAAATGCCTTCAAAAGCAATATAAAAATCTATTAAAAATTACATCAATCACAAATAAAATCAAAGAAATATTTTGACGTTTGATCAGACAACAAATTCATCACAGATATTTTGGAAGTAACTTTGTATGTAACGTTTTAACAACAGTTGTTTTCAGTCACTCAATACAATAAATTTTATGTCTGTTTGCCGTAGGGTTGATCAAAATCATCATCTTGTAGGGCAGACAGAAAATCCCTGGTGAAGAAATGCAATGAAATAAGAAAAAAATAAAGTGGCTGAATGAGCTGTATATAAGATATGGAAATGAAATAGTTTTTCAAGTCTATGATAATTTACAAAATGTATATTTTGTTCATATATATATAAATTAAAATGTTTAAACAAAAAGATATGAAAAATCAGATATGTACCTACAGAAAATATATAAACTGATAAAGACAATAGCTTGTTGTATAAAACACAGTTGTTGCAAAAGTCGCGTACGGCAAGGAAACTAATGTTTATAATCTTCAAAATATATATTGCGGATTGTTTGCATTGCTTTGGAACTTAATAGACCACTCAAGGGCTTAAATATAAAAAAATAAATTAGTTTTTTTTTCTCAGCTGATATTTTATTCTCAGAAATAGGATTACAATTAGCCAGCAAGTCACAATATTTTGTGAAAATTACTTTCATACAACACCTAACCAGATAAACATGGCATCAAGAGTAGAGGGCGCAGCTGCAGTTAAGTCATGCAGTCAAAAATGTGATGGAACAGTCTCTCAAATGAATTACAGATTATACAGAATTTCATTGTATGAACATAGTTTTGTATAGCTCTTCAATAACTAACTTGAAACAAACTTAAACTCACCCAAGTTGAGAGCTCTGTTTTTTCTGACTGGGTTGTGAACTGGCAGGCACAGCTGCAAGCTGGCGTTCTGGCAAAAATGAGCAGAAAAACTTCAAATATTTTAACAATAAAATGTTGAAGAATATTGTTCATTTAATTCTTTGGACTATGGCAGGATTTAAATAATGATGGGAATTTTCACCAATCTCTCTCCCGTCATTGAAGTAAATGCCTTATAACAACATCCACATGAACAATTATATTTAGAACAATGCGGTGGATCTCACCAGGGAATATACTCTGTATCTGCCTTGTCTGGCCACGTTGGTTAGACGTCTGTAAAACTGTTTTCTCCAGGAGTCCTGAGATCTTGTTGATCTGTCTTTCATACCTGTCTGGTCCAGAACTTTCTGCTGACCTGACCTTTGTCTGATGGGTTTGGGGCGCATCAGTAAGTACTTTTTCAGAACTAGCCTGGATGGAAGCAAATTAGAGAAAAACACTTAGCTAACTTTGCAGTTTAGCAGTTTAAAAACTGGAGTCAGATGACACCCAAGATAAGGGTTTCTTTTATGCTTCTCTCTACACTGGGGGAGCACTCCAGCATACCCCCCCCCCTACCCGGACAAAGAAGCAAAAAAAAAAAAAAATTACCCCTCCCCAGAAAAAAATTATCTAAAAGGTAACAAGCAAGTTAGCCAACTTTACTGACCTGTGTGGAAACTATTGGTTCAAACATTTCTGAAAAATCTGTTTTCATCATATACTCCACAGCAGCTTTAAAGGAAACCAAGCAAAACCTAGTAAAAATAAAAGGTTTGGAGTTAACAAACTTTACAACACTTCATTCATATTTCTATTAACAAAGTTTTAAAAGGATAGGATGGTGGGCTTGACTCCAAAAATCTTTAACTATTTACAAATTAGTTTTAAAATGTCATTGATCAAACCAGCCTAATGTAACACACTTACCCTAAGTTATCTAGATCAGTTGAGACCCACATGAAGTGTTCCATATAAAACATGTCACTATGTAGATATCTACATTTGGCTTTAGCAATAACTGTCACCTAATGATTGTCAGTAATTAGAACTCAATAATATTAATTTTATCAATGTATAGTGATGATCTAATGATTATGAATATATTACCAAAAAGTTCTAAATATAAAATAGTTAATAAATAAACTAATTACCAGGATAGGAAGAAGATCATCAGAAGTGATACATGCTTGATCAGCTAAAATGATAAAAATATTACATTACACATTTTAATTTCTTTTAAAAACTATCTGGATTCATTTTTAATTATTTTAAGGAAATTAAACCAAACAAAAGGATTTATAACAATAATGTTGTATAGAAATAGATTTCTCATAGAAATGATTTACAAACTTACTTTTTGAGGAACCATGCTCATATTTTTTTCATCAGCAGAACTTTTTCAATAAAAAACAGAATATGAGATATTAATATTTTACAAAACAAAACTTACTAGGCTGGATGGCTTGAAGCAGCTCAATGCCTTCATTTATAAATGCTGTTATACTCTCTGTTATATTGTCCTGGAGTTAAATTTTTTTTAGATATTTTTTTAAAAAGTTCAATTTTTTAAATATTGCACAATACACAAGGCATTATCTCAGTCCACAAATATTCAACTAAGCACAAAGTTTTTAAATTCCTGTCTAAATAATTTGCCTGAATTTAAGAAACATAATTAAAGCACAACTCAGGCATTGTTATAACAATAGAATTGCCAGAATTGAACACTTAATCAGCTGAATTAAATAGTGACATACTATCAACATAACAGGTTGTAATCACACACACACACTACAAGTTATAAAACCTAAGTCATAAAGTCAATTAAAAAACTATGCAGGTATTAACCTACTATAGTGCACTTCAGGCAGGTCAGCTTCTCTCTAGGTGTGTGTAATGAAGGCAGCCTGGACAGTTCATCTATCTAAAAAATACAATTAAGGTCATTTTTAGATAAGGTAAAGCTCAGCTGTTTCTGTTACTTTATCAAGACATTTTTTATAGACTCTATATCTATATGTATTATAAAATAGACATTTTTTAAAAAGATTTAAAAAATACAATATAATATTTGAGTGTTTTTTTTATATTTTGATAGATAAGAGCCTATTTAACTATTGTGGGTGTAGTGAAAGAAATCAACTTACAGCAGATGGAAGAGGACAACAGAACTCTTTACGAACTCCCATTTCATGTGCTCTTATTTGCTGAATTCTCTCACACTTAGCAAACAGACTTTGATCTTTCACCAAAAGATGTTCTTGTATAACAGCAAACGTTTTCTCATACACAGCATTCATTATGAAGCTGTGGTGTAATAAATGTTAATTTTTCAGTAGATCACAAGGAATTATTTAGTGAATGTAACAAACAAGAAATGGTACACAACCTTTCTATAGACCCAGCTATCGCCTCCTTGAGTTTCACATCAGAATTCATTGGGGCCTTTAATTTAGATATCATTTCCTGGAATGCAGGATTAAGAAAAAAAGATAAAAACTTAAAACTATTGAACTTTATTTTTAATTGAACATGTGCACGTTCATGTATTTAGGACATTCACCTTGAGAGCTTTGTATGTCATGTCTTTGAGCCTGTTGGCAGCATCGTCTAGATAGTCTGGCAGCACCATGTAATGCTTCAGGAAATGTTTGATGTCCAGTTGCAATCTGTCTAGAACCTGCAAACAGCAAGCAAAAAAATTTTGAAATTTTTTGTAGCACAATAACATAGTAAAAATTATATTTTAGCTTTGTATTTGATCACCATCTGCATGACAAAATGCCAACTTGGTTTAGAACCTCATTATTTTAAATTTTACCTCTTTGAATTCTGCAAAACTGTATAAAAATGATTCACAGCTGGAAAATAGAAAAATGTGTTGCCTGTTGGTGTATATTTTTTAAAGTGTAGAATAATTTTTATAATAGCAGAATTACATGAACTAAATGTTTTTAATAATAATAATAACCAATTGAATCAATCCACATAATCACTCGGCTTACAGGGAAGTAAGTTAAGAAAAATTAAATGAAGGTTCTTACTCAGTAACTGACAATTTGGGTTTGTAAAGATTATTTTCTTGTGTTTTGACAGCAGAATCTTTTTTGAACTGAAAAATAAAATGTTATGCTGACATAGAAAATAATGGAATTTTTTAGACCTAATTTACAAATTTGCAAAACTTAATCAACCAAGTGACTGACGGGTCATCTGATTTCTAATTGGTCAGTTGGATTTGACCAAAGCAATGCATAAACTACTTATAGCTGCACCACATTTGAATTATGAAAGTTATCATTTAAAAATTCAAATCTTTATGAGAAAGAGAGTTACCAAAATTAATACTAATAGGAAGCATAAGAAATTCCAATTAGTTTAGCAAACACAAAAACAAAGAAAGAAAAATAGAAATATACATACATATATTTGAATTAATGAAAGGACAGAAATTTCATACCAGTAGCTTATATCATGCCTATATTTATAAATAACTTACAATAAATTTAGTGTCCAAAGGTTGTGAGAGGATAAGAATCTTGTATTGTTTATACTCCTGTTTACATTGGGGAAAAAATTGTTATAATGGCTGTTTTGTAATATTGCTAAATTGTGTTTCAATTTGATAAAAGTATTAAGGTATTGCTTAATTCCAATGCCAACAAACTATTAGCATTTATTTCAAACAAGATATCAGGCCAAATACCTTATTATAAGCCAGCTCCTCACCCAGTATCTCTACATCAGCAATTTCAGAAAAACCTGAAAAATTTTAATTGTTATATTCTAAATTAATAAACAAAATAAAAATGATTTAATTGATTATTTTAATAATATACATTTTTTAAATAAAATAATTTATTTTAAACTAAGCCTTAAAAGTATTAATATAAAGTTGTTAAAAATATGTTTCAAATATTAATGAGCAAAAATCAAATTTTTAACTTTACTCTGATGTACCTTGAAGAGTGGTAAAACACCTCCCATCATCTGACAGACTCAGCATTTTGTTATTCGAAGCATGGGTTGTCAAATATTGACTATTAAAAAAACAAAACCTACTTGTTTTTTTATTATTATTATCAAGGCAAAAAGTGTTACAAAGATACAACAATACCCAACAATTGATATTAAAAAACCTAAATGAATGTATGCTAAACATTAGTGATTTAAAATTGAAGTTTTTAAAAGTCTCAAGTATTCACAATACTTTAGCTGCTTACTATCAAGAGCTTACCCTTTAAAATATGGAGAGGGACGGAGAATATGAGTATCTGAAATTTAAAAAATAGTTTTCAATTTAACAGGTATAATCACCATTAAACAAAAAAATTAAATTTAAAAAACTGGGTAAACCATTTTCAAAATTAATATTTCCAAAGTAAAGCACAAGTAGTTTATGTTCATACATTGCAATTGAATACCTTGGATAGTATTTTTTTGTTAAACCTTTAAGTATTACTTACATGACTTTCTAAGAAATTAGGATAAAAGCAATTACAGTAGAACAAACATACTACAATGAAAGATAAAATACATGTAATTTAAAAGGGGGAAAACAATAAGTATATTAACAATTGTGAGCTAAAGCTACTAACCAACAAAATCTGTGTTGATAACAGGGTTAGGAATTGACTTAGACTGTGGAATACACAGCAAGTAGCAATTCTCAAGGGCCTGGTCATACTGGTAAGTGAACCTGTTCTGTGGAGAACAATCTGACAGTGGGATCTCAGCAAGACAACTAAAGGGGATTACAACTGACAAGGTATGTTTAACAATTACAATTTATTTCAATTAAGTTACTATGTAAATCAGTGTTCTATTTAAATTTCTATTAGAGCACAAATAAAAAAGCATTATTTAAGTTATAAGAGGAAGAGTTAAAAGTGAAGTTCAAGAATATATAATGGTTTACCTGTAATGCTTTATAAAATGGATTCACTTCTAGTTCGTCTAACTCACTGTCCATGATTGATGGTTATGTTTAGACTTTAGCATCCACCACTTTTGGTGGTCTGTAAGATCTTTTGGGTTAAAAATTCCAGCTGGTTTTATACTTCAATATTCTAAAATTATTTCCTGATGGAGAAAATATTTTAGAATTATAAAGTAGAAATTAAAGAAAGGGCTAGTTATAAAAGAAATAACTAGTTAGCTAGGCTAAATCTGCTAATGTTAGAAAGGTCAGGTTAAAATAAATAAAAATTAACAATTAGGCCTATTTCCTTATTTAGATTTAAACCCATGTTTCCCCATGAACCATCCAAATAGCAACTAGATCTACTAGATTATAAGAAGCAGTTTAAGTTTAACATTCATAACAATCATTAAAATGTGAACCTGTTACCAGTGTACCTACCGCCCCTCTCTGTCTGCTTAAAAAATGAAGTAAAAAAAAAAAAAATAAAGGAATTATGATACAGGATTTAGTAGCCTAAAATTCAAAATAACTATAATTTCGATTAGTAACTAGAAATCTAGACCTTGTACTAAACGTTTGGCTACCCCAAACAAAACAAAAATAAAAAGGACTAGATTTCTAGATCTAGATCTAGATGTAGAGATAGCCGCTAGCGGCTATTGTACCTTACTTTTGTTATGTTTTTCCCCAGGAACAATAACTCTAAATGCAATTTGCCAGATACAAATGTTAAATAGTATGTTGAATTGTTGATTAAATTAGTATAGACCTACTTCAAACTTTAAATTAATTAACTCAGTTGCATTTGACGGAATATCTCCATACTCTTTTATCATGGCATGTTGTAGTGAATATAATTTTGCATAATTGAACTACATATCGTCCAGATAGTGTCTTCTTTTTAAATTTTGCCTAAAAGGATGTTTTTTCATATTTTCTATTGGACTATAGACCTAGTCATCAGCCTAAAAAATTTGAATATTTGAAATGTTCTACCCCCCCCCGCAAGATTTCGATTTGCAACCTTCCCCCCCCCCCAAACTTTTGATGTGCACCCCCCCCCCCCCCCCCACACTCAAACTTTCGATTTGAACCCCCCTAAACCTTTCAATTTATTTTTCCAAACCATTTTGGCGCCCCAACATATGTCCCCCCCCCCCGCCCCCCCTTCCCCCCCTCCACCTCCCCCCGCCTCCCCTTCCCCCCCCCCCCCGCCTCCCCTCCCCCTCCCGCCCCCCCCCCTCCTCGCTACGCTACTGCATTGTCACTTATCGTCACAAACAGACCCCACATTCAAAAATATGTTTTTTTATCTTTTAAAAACACCGAAAACACCGATTTCGGACTATCCCTTCATATACTGACGTCACAGGTGACCTACTCAACTCTACTTCACCTGCCCAGTGTCCCGCCAAGTCTCAGACAACATGTTTTTATCGTTTAAAAAACGATTCCAGCCGAGCATGTCTCTGACCACACTATCCTTTCATATGCTTAGGACAAAGAAACAGATGAACTCTACTTCACCTGCCCTGTATTCTTCCAAGTTCAGATAGGCAATTTTATCATTCACATCTAAAAAAAAAAAAATTGGAAAAAAAAATATCATTGACATATTGGACTAGAACCTGTGCACCCGCATGAGAGCCGGCTACACTACCAACTTAGCTATTTACTCGTGACGTCACAAGTGAATTTTTATACTATACTTTGAGTCTCCTTATGCAACTTGATTTACGCGCATAGATCTATTCTAGATCTAAGTCTAGTAGTAGTAACTTTCAAATTAAATTTTATCTTAAATTAGCCAAACAAAGATTTATATAAAATAATTAAGGCCTGAAATAGATTCTAGATGTATTAAGGCCTGAAATAGATTCTAGATGTAGAATGTACATTAAGTCTAGATCTAGAATTTACATTGAGTCTAGTGGCCTAGATCTAGGCTAGATCTAGATCTAGGCTAGATTCATAACTTTCCTTCGACAGCTGATCTTTAGATCTAGAGAAATTTATTGTAAAACTAAATGAAAAAAGACAGTTTAAAATTGATATAAGTGTTGGAACGTAATAAATACAGCAAATGGGCGTATTGTTAAAGTTAAAGCCGACAGAAAATTAGCTTTAGAACGCGTTAAACATTGGAATGGGAACACAATCTTCTTCGATAGGCCGCCATTATCGATGTAAAAAAATAAACACATCATGTGACGTCACTGTTTCCGTCGAGTGTAGTGGCTTTTCAAATCTTTTTAAAAAATTGTGGTTAATATACGTATGAATAAATCAATAAATTAATTAACGTCTTTAAATAAATTTGTGATTAACAGTCTGTCTGCATTAAAAAATTATTCTCTACCTACATACTATTTTACAGCTCTCCAGATAGAATAGAACATATCACAATACTCGATCGGACAAACAAAAAAACAAACAAATAAATATTCAAACATGTAAACAAACTTGAGTTTTAGTAGTATAAATATAGATCAAACATGTAAACAAACTTGAGTTTTAGTAGTATAATATAGATAGATTAACATAGTTCAGCTTTTTCCTAGTTGAAAATCAATTCTTGAACGCCTGAGCGTCACAATTAAAGCTTCCATGCTTTAAAAAATGTATTATGAAAATTGCAGTGTTAATAACTATCTTTTATTTTATTTTTATTAATATTTAGATTGTAATGTCAAAACCTATATCAAGTATGAACTGTCACACGAATATTTGGTATAATTGCACACAAAAAATGTTAACTTTGGTATAATTGCACAAAAACTGTTAACCTTGATACATCAAAACTACATGGCTAGGGTGGAAGACTAATCTCGCTTAAATTAGCATACGTGACTTAAGGGTCTGGAATTGAACGTTGTTTGGTCTGGTCTGGTCTTAGACCCATATCATCTAGATCATGTTCACTGAAGCTTGACAACGATTCGCACAACGTCCCTAGGGCCTGGACGTGAAGACAACATCCGGGGAACTGCGTGTTTGTGTCTGCCGCACTCGTCACTAGCTCCTCGCATGGCCGGCACAGCCGGTCAGACACAAGTGGATGCTGGTCAGACCCATATCCCTGCAAGACAGACCCGTGTCCCTGTAGAACAGACACGTGTGCCTGCGAGTCAGACCAGTGACCCTGTAGAACAGACCCATGTTCCTGTAGAACAGACCCGTGTGCCTGCAAGTCAGACCCGTGTGCTTTTGGGTCAGACCAGTATGTCTCCACGTCAGATCCTAGTGAGGAAAAGCTACTGAACTCTGGAGTTCGGAGGTCAGAAGTCAGACTGTGATTCAACTCCTCATCAAGAGCCGCTGCAGCAGCCTTACCCTTCTGTTGTTTTGAGGGTCCGAACATCTCCCACACACCCTCACCATAATACTGCCGGGCGTATTTACATGTCTGACAAGACGAACAGAGTAAAGAGACAAATGTTTCAAAACTCAAATTATCGATCTCGGTATCTTTGACATAAAAATAAAGACTCCTATGCTGGCTAGCTAATTCATTGCTACCCTTTGAATCTAAAAGAAGATTTTTCAGGCCCGTATTTTCTTGGACGTAGTTGAGCATCTGAGTCTTGTAGTAGGTCAACTGGTCCGTGTTTAGCCAGGTGAGCATCATGGCGTGCTCATACACACTCAGCATGTAGTGGTGACCTTCACTGTTTAAGCTGGTCTGCATCGTCTTGCCGAGCTGTAGAGTGGAGCTCAGACAATCAGAGCAGGACGAGAGTAGTGGCGGCATCATGTCTGCTTCTTCAGGGAATGTCTGCTGAGGCGGCACCATGTCTGCTTCTTCAGGGATTGTCTGATTTTCTTTCTCCTCTGGACAAGAGAGCTCTGTTAAACCCGGACATGCTTGCAGTTGTGAAATCATCATTTGAAAGTGGAGAATGTTTAAAGAAATTCGAAGTCGATAATAATGGTGTGGGTTTCTTTCTTGCATTAGTTTTTCTGCCACACGTGCGCAGTTCAAAGCCTCGGTCACATTCCTCCTAGTAAAATATCAGGCATGTGAATAATCATTATTGAAATTTAAACTGTAGGTAAATAAACAAATTCTTTAATTAACTAAAAGGTAACTGATGTCTTACTGCTAATTTAGATTAGGCCTACTTGTTTGCACATTAAAAGCATTACTGATTTCGTATTGTAAATGTTAACTCAAATTTTCCAAATGCACAGTATCAATTATTTAATTAGCGTAAGTATTCTAAGATACTTTTTTAGAGTATTTTATTTCTTACTGTAAGTAAGAAAGACGGATGTGGATAGTATAGAGGAAGGGCACATGCCTGTGAAAAGCAGACACACTGAAAAAAAAGAGAGAGAACTTGCATGTTAAAGTGGATCTCGCTTAAAAAGGTCAAGGCCAAGGCAGTGTCACTATGCCTCCAGGCGTAGTTCCGGTGAAGGTCCAGTGCCCTGTTGCAGTAAGTCAAAGCTTTTCCTGAACGTGGGGGGGGGGGGGGGGGGGGTGTTAAGGAGAAAAAAGTCCGTTAAGCAGAGTTATATGCAGATTTTTACTGACGAAATCATGGATCGAATCCCGTTCCCCAGATACAGAGTCAGTTGCCTATTCCTTAGCCACCCCATCCCATACGCCAGACCCCTGTTACTCTTTCCCCCACCCCAGCCTAGAAGAATCAACTCACCTAGGTTTCCAGTGCTTAAGAAAATGCTCGTGATGTTTATAAGGGAATCAAAGACAATAACTGGTGTGATTTTTTCCAAGTGAAGCCTCTCGTTATGAGAACGAATGAACCACTTCAAAGCCCTGTTCGGATCTTTAAAACCTAGCAACAACAAAAAACAAACAAAAATGTATGGTGAATATCGTTTCATCCCTCTATGGAAGAATTCGTTGAGAAACTCCGTAACGCTCTTGTCGAAGTGTTCACAGATGGAATAGGTGACAGATGAGGTTCCATTTGATTAAAGTCGTCTTTACATACAGTAAGTCCAGAAAGATAACAATTATTTTATCTTTCAGCAATGTTATTGTTAGTAGCTTTTTAGCGCAATTTCCATTCTGGAGAATTGCGTTTATTAACTCGTCATTTCTGGGAATGTATGGATGGATGTGTGTCCGCAGCTTTAAGTCGTATCTCCTCCTCAACGAAGCAATATCGAGGACTAGTTCCAAAAGCAATTATGTTAAGCAAGTTACGAGGATAAACATAGGCCAAAAAAAATTCCGGGTTTCTTTCATGGATTTCCCGGAAAAGCCAAAAAAACCTCGAAAAAATGCAGTTTTTGGCCCATATCTCGGCAACCAGACCACTTAGCGACTTGAAACATGTACCAATCGATTCCTGCCATAATTTAAAACAATATTGCCGAAGAAAGTTTTCAAAAATATCCTTTCGTTCGGTCACAAAAAATATTTTGAATTAATTAAAATTTGGACCGAATTAGTAGGCATTTTTATCCAACCACACCACACGCGTCATCACGTTCAATAGCTGCGCCATCACGTTCAATGGCTGCGACATCACGTTCGGTAGCTAGACGCGCAATGGTTTTTATTCATGTAACTCTATTGTAAATAAAACATGTAAAATACTGGAAAAAAATTAATAAAAAAC